TTTTTAATGATTTTTAGAATCTTCAACTCAAAATTCATTGCCTTTTTATTTGGAGAATGAAATTATTCTTTATAAGAATGGTGTATTTCAAGATAACAACGTAACCATGTGTTCAATTTGTCACAATTGTTCTGAAGCTCTTTCTAAAGGGAAAACTCCAAAATTTTCAGCAGCAAACAACATGTGGTTAGGCAATATACCTATTGAGTTACAAGAGCTAACAATTCCTGAACAAAAGTTAATATCGTTACATCGTCATAATAGTTGTGTAATAAAACTCCAGTCACCTTTTCATACGGCGACAACTGCACAGGGAGCGTTGAAAGGCAACTGTATTACTTTTCTTCAAAATATCCCGAATATTGCTAACAGTTTACCACTGGCAATGGACGATTTATGCGACACGCTGAAAGTAATATTTATTGGTGCACGTCCTCCTCAACGCATCCAACTTAAGAGAGTTCTTACAGTCCGAAAGAAAAAGGTGGCGGAAGCTCTGCATTGGTTAAAAAAATACAATAGACTTTATAAGGACGTCGACATAAATCAGGATAATATTATGAAACTACCAGAAGACGATATACCAGAATCGATCATGTCAACAATAGAACAAAAGATTGGTGACGAGGCGACACAGCTATCTGAAAGAGCTGGCTATACTCCAGATCCTTTACTGCATTCAACAGAATCAGACACATCAGACAGTGTTCCTATGAACAATAGGTATATATAATTCTTTTTAAACTTTATAGAAATAACGATCTTTTCCCCTTAGTGCCGTTCTTGATGTAAATGGCTCATTGGTATGTTCAGATGAAATCAATAATTACGTTTTAACAAAGATGAAAACTGGTGAAACAGATAATCAAATGGATGTCGAAAACGTTTACTTAATTCCGCATTCCTCTAAACCTGTTAATGAATATTTTAATCCGAAACTATTAGCAGGTCTTTATCCAACTTTGTTTTGTTATGGACGAGGTGCACCTGAAGATCAGTCAAAGCCAATCAACATAAACTTTCGAGAACATATACGTTATCTGTTATCATACGATGATCGACGCTTTGAAAAGAACCATAGTTTCATTTTTGTAGTTTTTAACATATTACAAAGACGTGATGCATGTCTTCATGCTCAACTTATAGCAACGAAACCTTATTTTCAATCTTCTGTTCAGGAAATTCANCAACTTAAAAAGATCCTTACAGTCCGAAAGAAAAAGGTGGCGGAAGCTCTGCATTGGTTAAAAAAATACAATATACGTTATAAGGACGTCGACATAAATCAGGATAATATTATGAAACTACCAGAAGACGATATACCAGAATCTATCGTGTCAACGATGGAACAAAAGATTGGTGACGAGGAAACACAGCTATCTGAAAGAGCTGGCTATGTTCCAGATCCTTTACTACATTCAACAAAATCGGACACATCAGACAGTGTTCCTATGAACAATAGGTATATATAATTCTTTTTAAACTTTATAGAAATAATGATCTTTTCTCCTTAGTGCCGTTCTTGATGTAAATGGCTCATTAGTATCTTCAGATGAAATCAATAATTACGTTTTAACAAAGATGAAAACTGGCGGAACAGATAATCAAATAGATGTCGAAAACGTTCACTTAATTCCGCATTCTTCTAAACCTGCTAATGAATATTTTAATCCGAAACTACTAGCAGGTCTCTATCCCACTTTGTTTTGTTATGGACGAGGTGCACCTGAAGAACAGTCAAAGTCCATCAACATAAACTTTCGAGAACATATACGTTATCTGTTATCATACGATGATCGACGTTTTGAAAAGAATTATAGTTTCATTTTTGTAGTTTTTAACATATTACAAAGACGTGATGCATGTCTTCATGCGCAAATTATAGCAACGAAACCTTGTTTTCAATCTTCTGTTCAACAAATTCAATCATTAAGCAGTTCTGATATTGAAACAGCTCTTAAGAATATTTCCACTAGAACATATGAAAACCATTGTAACAAGGGACTGGGTAAACTATTAAATCATATAAAAACTATCGATGGTCGCGTTATGGGTTCAGCACATTCACGTACAGCTTTACGCACACATATCCATGCATTAATTTTCAACCAAGGACTACCAAGTATTTTCTTAACTATTAATCCAGCTGATATTCATAGTCCCGTCGCATTATACTTCGCGGGAGTCAAACTCGATCTAGACCATGCTCAAGCAGAACAACTTATGGATGCATACAAACGTGCCGAAATCATAGCTTCTCATCCTGTGGCGACAGCTAAATTCTTTCATACGTTAATTTCCAATATCTTAGATACAACGATTATTGGCGGGGCACGTGGTCCCGTAAAAGCTTATTTTGGCACTGTTGAAAGCCAAGGCTGCGGTTCACTTCATTTACATCTATTGATCTGACTCGATATCAGTATAAAACCAACTGACATGAAGGAAAAAGTTCAAGATCCAGATTTTCGTGAAAGGCTTATAGCATACTTGGAAGATATCATCAAAGAAGATCTAGATGATTTGAAAAACAAAGAAACTCGAGCCGAATTTAGCAGTATCAGTTTCTTTTTTCTTTCTTCTCAGGGTCGTTCTTGTTTGGTTTTTTAGCTTCATCATCATCATCAGATACTTCACCACAGTTGACAACAGATAGTCTTTATGCAGCTTTCCGTACAATGGATATTACAAATTCTGAACAAAATAGAGATCATTCTTATCCTTCGACTGTTTGGTCAACACCAGTCAAAGGGCAATTATCACCATCGATTCCATATGCATCACCAGAGATACTTTTTGGATCTCCATCAAATTCGCATCGGTCCTTGTCAATACCGTATGCATCTCCTCGATGGAACGAACTATCACAAACACCAACGTCTGATCGATCAATATCGGGTATGATTGTCTAATCATTATCCGATAAAACAACCAATACACATCATTGTTCTATATATAAACGTTTCAGCTAGTCAGCCAAAACTATTTACAGCGGGAAAAGGATTTGTCGGCTGCGTTTACCACGAAAACTAGTGCCAAAGTCAATGATCGATCCTGAAACAGGTGATATACGCATGCGACGATCGCATCCGATGATTAATAATTTTAATGAATATATCATATCCGCATGTCGTTCCAACATGGATATCAAATTTATTTGGACGGGCAACGATGCCAAAGCTCTCGTCTATTATATTACCGACAATGTAACAAAATCCCATATAATAGGGAATATGATTTTGCAGCAAAATCATTTATTTTAAAACTGATTAGTTTGTAACAAATTGATATTAAGCCGCATAATCAACATGATTTTGTTGATGATTTCAATAATGGATAGAAATAGTGGTAGTTTTTGTGGTCAATGTGGTCAATGTGGTACTTGGTTATATAAGATTTCGTCATGATTATCCAACAAGATTGGCACACTGGAACTAGCACTTATAGTACTGAGTTTAAATCAACTTGAATATATAACTCAATACTATTTTAATATAAAATGTATGAGTTAGTCGCACTACTTGTGCGTAAACGGAAATAGTATTGAACACAGCCTATAAACTTCTATACTCCATGTTTCAGTTTCTACGTAAAAATAATAATTAAAAAGAATAACTGCTGAGGCGATGTGATTTGTTTACTGTTAATCACACGACAACTTTATTATCATCGAATAGAATTCAGAGAAAAATGTCGAGTTCAAACAATTAATGCTCTCACTTGTCTTTGAGTTAAATGTTATCAGGTCTCTGAATGTGTTAAATGAGTGCTAGCGTATGTTTGAAATTTGTTTTCTGTATTGGATATGTATAAAATAAGATTAGAATATGGATTATGAAACTAATAAATGCGAGTGAAACGGAATCACTGAAGAGGCATTGTGTACGAAGGAATGTATAAATCTATTTGGCAGACACTTTCTTTGGAAAAAGTCAAGTCAACAAGATTTGTAAGATAAGATATTGAAGAAGAGAGGGAGAAGAGAATAAAGGAATAGTTTTGTATATTTTGCTTTTAAATAGAAGAAAAAAAAAAGGAACATTCAAATAAATAGCAAAAAAAGAAAAACAAGGTGAAGGGAGAAATATTTTTCAAGAAACAAAAACAGATTATGGGTAAAGGAATAAAGTGGCGCCTTTCGAATCGTTTCTTTTTCAAGCAAGTAAATGTGATAGAGTTTGTATGCGCTCGCTCAGGTCAATAAACTCTGGCATATTCATTATCTCGTCATTCTATAACAATGCTTTCCTTTGATTCTAGACAAAACCATGGTATTAATGATAGTTTAGTCATCAACTGAACATATTCAGATTAATCTTATGAAGGATGACCAATTTCATTGATTAGAATAGAAAGTTTACTCAATCATATTCATTCAACATCTAAGTCAAAGCGAGAATCACAATGTGTGTATAGGAAAATATGATGTTTATCGATTTCATATCTATTAATATATACTGTTTTCTCGGTGGTTAGATTCTCTCTTCACCGTTTAGGATCTCACTTGACTTTTTTAGAAGTCAGTTTCCTTTTTCAGTTTTTGTTTTTATAAGCCAGTTGCTCGTAAGATTTCTCGTTCACAATAGAATGCTTTCGTTTCCTTTTTGACACTAACATGAAGTGAATTAGAAAACATCTGTGATTATGTGTAACTCAGACAAGAGAAAATCAAACAGAATAGAAGTGTGAGACTTAGTGTCATTGATTGCAGTACCATTGTGTTCAAAATCCATAAAGAGAATGATTTTTCACCTTCAGACATGATCCAGTGAACAAAATGCATTTTGTTGATAGATCTTCATATGCATGTGTGTGTGCAAAATAGAGATATCCATGATTTGAGAATGTCTTGGTTTTGTTAGCTTATTTCATTTAAAAATTCTTTGTTTTATATTGATGATTGACAGAAGATAAGAATATTTCGTTTTTTTTTAAAGCAAAACTCGCTTCTAGATCGATGTCTTCAAAATCAATATTCAGCATCACAGATTATAATCGAAATCGTTAGTTTATTTTATTAGCATGTTATGATACTCACGTGAGTTCTCATATAAAAACGAACTGAACGTTTATTTTGAATTTCTTAGGAGTTATTCGTGTTCTGATGTGTTTTTATGAGAACGTTTTCCGCAGTCAAGTGACATGTATCTAAAAGCTTTTTTTAAGTTACTTTCAAACTTGATATCAGTTTGGAATCCCCGTTACTACCTTCGTTGAGTATGATTCTTCTAATAATGAATATTCTTCATCAGTCGTTTCTGATGAAGTTGCCAATAATAATGATGACATAAATCGTTTCTTCTTAAGTAGACTTATAAACGAAATTGATGATAATGTTGATTTTTTATTATTATCGGAAATATCATTCATTGCTGCATTCCACAGATGTTCATATCTTCATTTCAAAACTGCTGTTCCACATCACTATATTTTATATAAAACTTATCATTCGTAGGATTTAGATCAGAACAGATAATTTTTTCCGAAGTACTTTGCTTTTCAATTAGTCTGATTCAATTCATTTTCGTTGTTTTATCAGCATCTGGTCAGAAAATTCTCTTTTCTATTTATGATCAGATATGGGTAGTAACAAAAACTTCTTTACATCACCTGATACATAATATCTCAGTCTTCATTTGCTTTCAACTAACCTGTTCTATTTAAAAGGTTCAGGAACGAAAGTAAGTTGATGATCAACTTATGGAAGTATCAACAAATCAACCAAATAATGGAAATTAGTGATGAAACTACCACGGTAATGATGCTAAATTGAACAAATGGTTAGAAAATGCAAACCAAGGCGACTTTTATGAACACGCTCAATCATCACACTGCTACCAAGCAAACACTATCGGTCGTAAAAGATGTCGCCATATTATGTGTTGCATTAGATCTTTCTGTAATTAAATCAATTATCTATCAAACCTTGAAACGAATGTCTTCTGCAAGACATGATTTATCGAAACGCTTCACATTTTTCCATCAAATAACCATCTTTCTAAACTGAGTCTAATCACATCTTTACCGAAAAAAGTACCGTTTCTAAATATCTTGACATACCTCATGCATGCGTTTCCAAATGCGCGATGCATTTCCATTTCGAAAAAATAACGATAAGTTTCAGCGTACAATATGTCCAAATTACACAATCTTTCAAATAAAAAATAATCATTCCAAATGCATTAAATTCAGTTTAATAAGACATCATTATTTCGATGTGTCATAACAAAGGGGATTTTGTCATCGGACAGACTACCATATCTCTCGAGGAAAATCAATTAGAATAGAGAAAGTAACGAACATGGAGGTATCAGTTGGTGATGTTGCATCTAACAAAAGAATTCACACTTTTCATGTGAGGATTTTATGACATCTGTTTTCACTTTCTAATGCATTAATTTTAATGATAATTTCTCTTGTAATATATTCTTATGCAACAGCTTACCGTTGTGATGCATATATTCGATTTGATCTTTTTGTCAAGCTGATAACGTACAAAATAAAAGTCAAGTGGATCATTTTCATTTGATAGCGATGAGAAGAATTTATTGAAGTAGAAGTTGGAGTAGATATAAAATACCAAATAACCTGTACATTCATTTTTATACTTTGAGAAGAAACTTTGAAGGAAATAATAAGAATGAAATATTTGTTCTGCTAGGATAAAAGTCAATTTTATTGCTTTTGACCCTTTCCACCGTCGCTAGCATTCACAATTTCGATATCAACTTGAGAATCATCTTCGTTAATTTGATTTTCCAGTATCAAGGTTTCGAACACGCAATAACTCTGATGAGATCGCTGATTTTGAATCATATTTTCAAGTTGAGTGTTAACAATAAGACTGTGTCGTGCAGGATCTTGCTTAAGTGTATCACAATTTTTCAAATGAAAAAGTAGAATTGTAAATAATGCAGATGAAGGATAAGAAAAGCTCCGTAAAGAAGTTTTGAAATTGGTGAGATAAGAAAATGTTTGCTCTGCAATACTTGTGTTGATGCCAATGAACTTTATCTTATTTTGTTCGGAATCAGGATTGAATAAAGTCTTACATAAATTACCTGTATGCACTGTATTGTGAAATCGATCTGTCACTAAGGTCATCTCCATCAATTGCTGAGAGAATTGTGTTTTCTGCATGTGTTCAGTGCCGAATNTTTCGTCATGATTATCCAACAAGATTGGCACACTGGAACTAGCACTTATAGTACTGAGTTTAAATCAACTTGAATATATAACTCAATACTATTTTAATATAAAATGTATGAGTTAGTCGCATTACTTGCGCGTAAACGGAAATAGTATTGAACATAGCCTATAAACTTCCATACTCCATGTTTCAGTTTCTACGTAAAAATAATAATCGAAAAGAATAACTGCTGAGGCTATGTGATTTGTTTACTGTTAATCACACGACAACTTTATTATCATCGAATAGAATTCAGAGAAAAATGTCAAGTTCAAACAATTAATGTTATCGCTTAAGTCTTTGAGTTAAATGTTATCAAGTCTCTGAATGTGTTAAATGATTGCTAGCGTGTGTTTGAAATTTGTTTTCTGTATTGGGCATGTATAAAATGAGATTAGAATATGGATTATGAAGCTGATAAATGCGAGTAAAACGGAATCACTGAAGAGGCATTGTGTACGAAGGAATGTATAAGTCTATTTGGTAGACACTTTCTTTGGAAAAAGTCAAGTCAACAAGATTTGTAAGATAAGATATTGAAGAAGAGAAGGGGAAGAGAATAAAGGAATAGTTTTGTATATTTTGCTTTTAAATAGAAGAAAAAAAGGAACATTCAAATAAATACCAAAAAAAGAAAAACAAGGTGAAGGGGGAAATATTTTTCAAGACACAAAAACAGATTATGGGTTAAGGAATAAAGTGGCGCCTTTCGAATCGTTTCCTTTTCAAGCGAGTAAATGTAATAGAGTATGTATGCGCTCGCTCAAGTCAATAAACTCTGACATATTCATTATCTCGCCATCCTATAACAATGCTTTCCTATGATTCTAGACAAAATCATGGTATTAATGACAATCTAGTCATCAACTGAACATATTCAGATTAATCTTCTGAAGGATGACCAATTTCATTGATTAGAATAGAAAGTTTACTCAATCATATTCATTCAACATCTAAGTCAAAGCGAGAATCATAATGTGTGCATAGGAAAATATGATGTTTATCGATTTCATATCTATTAATATATACAGTTTTCTCGGCGGTTAGATTCTCTCTTCACCGTTTAGGATCTCACTTGACTTTTTTGAAAGTCAGTTTCCTTTTTCAGTTTTTGTTTTCATAAGCCAGTTGCTCGTAAGATTTCTCGTTCACAATAGAATGCTTTCGTTTCCTTTTTGACACTAACATGAAGTGAATTAGAAAACATCTGTGATTATTTGTAACTCAGACAAGAGAAGATCAGACAGAATAGAAGTGTGAGACTTAGTGTCATTGATTGCAGTACCATTGTGTTCGAAATCCACAAAGAGAATGATTTTTCACCTTCAGACATGATCCAGTGAACAAATGCATTTTGTTAATAGATCTTCATATGCATGTGTGTGTGCAAAATAGAGATATCCATGATTTGAGAATATGTTTTAGTTTTGTTAGCTTATTTCATTTAAAAATTCTTTGTCTTATATAGATGATTGACAGAAGATAAGAATATTTCGTTTTTTTAAAGGAAAACTTGGTTCTAGATCGATTTCTTCAAAATCAATATTCAGCATCACAGATTATAATCGAAATCGTTAGTTTCTTTCTTTAAAATGTTCTGATACTCACGTGAGTTCTCATATAAAATTGAACTCAACGTTTATTTTGAATTTCTTATGAGTTATTCGTGTTCTGATGTGTTTTTAGGAGAACGTTTTCCGCAGTCAAGTGACATGTATCTAAAAGCTTTTAAAGTTACTTTCAAACTTGATATCAGTTTTGGATCCCCGTTACTATGTTCGATAAGTCTGATTCTTTTAATAATAAATATTCTTCATCAGTCGTTTCTGATGAAGTTGCCAATAATGATGATGACATAAATCGTTGCTTCTTAAGTGGACTTATAAACGAAATTGATGATAATGTTGATTTTTTATTATTATCGGAAATATCATTCATTGCTGCATTCCACAGATGTTCACATCTTCATTTCAGACTGCTGTTCCACATCACCATATTTTATATAAAACTTATCATTCGAGGGATTTAGATCAGAACAGATAATTTTTTGCGAAATACTTTGTTTTTCAAATAGTCTGGTTCCATTCATCTTCGTTGTTTTATCAGCATCTGGTCAGAAAATTCTCTTTTCAATTTATGATCAGATATGGGTAGTAACAAAAAAGTTCTTTACATCACCTGATACCTAATATCTCAGTCTTCATTTGCTTTCAACTAACCTGTTCTATTTAAAAGGTGTTCAGGAACGAAAGTAAGTTGATGATCAACTTATGGAAGTATCAACAAATCAACCAAATAATGGAAGTTAGTGATGAAACTACCGCGGTAATGATGCTAAATCGAATAAAATGTTAGAAAATGCAAACCAAGGCGACTTTTATGAACACGCTCCATCATCACACTGCTACCAAGCAAACACTATCGTTTGTAAAAGATGTCGCCATCTTATGGGTTGCATTGGATCTTTCTGTAATTAAATCAATTATCTATCAAACCTTGAGACGAATGTCTTCTACAGGATGTGATATATCGAAACGCTTCACATTTTCCCATCAAATAACCATCTTTCTAAATCGAGTCCACTCACATCTTTATCGAAAAAACTACCGTTTCTAAATATCTTGACATACCTCATGCATGCATTTCCAAATGCGCTATACATCTCCATTTCGAAAAAATAACGATAAGTTTCAGCGTACAGCATGTCCAAATCACACAATCTTTCAAATAAAAAATAATCATTCCAGATGCATTATAATACATTAAATTCAGTTTAGTAAGACATATCATCATTTCGATGTGTCATAACAAAGGGGATTTTGTCATCGGACAGACTACAATATCTCTCGAAGAAAATCAATTAGAATAGAGAAAGTAACGAACATGGAGGTATCAGCTGGTGACGTTGCATCTAACAAAAGAATTCACACTTATCATATGAGGATTTTATGACATCTCTTTTCACTTTCTAATGCATTCATTTTAATGATAATTTCCTTTTGTAATATATTCTTATGCGAAAGCTTACCATTGAGATGCATATATTCGATTTGATCTTTTTGTCAAGCTGACAACATGCCGATAAAAGTCAAATGGATCATTTTCATTTGATAGCGATGAGAAGAATTTATTGAAGTAGAAGTTTGAGTAGATATAAAATAGCAAATAACCTGTACATTTATTTTTATACTTTGAGAATAAAGTTTGAAGGAAATAATAAGAATGAAATTTTTATTCTGCTAGGATAAATGTCAATTTTATTGCTTTTGACCGTTTCCACCGTCGCTAGCATTCACAATTTCGATATCAAATTGAGAATCATCTTCGTTAATTTGGTTTTCCAATATCAATGTTTCGAACACGCAATAACTCTGATGAGATCGCTGATTTTGAATCATATTTTCAAGCTGAGTGCCAACAATAAGATTTTGTCGTGCAGGATCTTGCTTGAGTGTATCACAATTTTTCAAATGAAAAAGTAGAATTGTAAATAATGCTGATGAAGGATAAGAAAAGGTCCGTAAAGAAGTTTTGAAATTGGTGAGATAAGAAAATGTTTGCTCTGCAATACTTGTGTTGATGCCAATGAACTTTATCTTATTTTGTTCGGAATCAGGATTGAATAAAGTCTTACATAAATTACCTGTATGCACTGTATTGTGAAATCGATCTGTCACTAAGGTCATCTTGTTACAGGCATGTTCATCACATACCTTCACATCATTCGCCATCTGTTTTCTCTTATCGTTCTTCTACATTCTTCTTTGTTCTGTTTTCGAATAAACAGATTGAGTTTCGTCTCTCGAGCGAAGACAACGCTAATATTGGTGCCGTGACCGGCTTTATTTGTTTCTTTCTCTATTCGTCCGTTCAATTCGTTGAATATTCAATTCTCTTTATACTCACGTNTTCGCCATCTGTTTTCTCTTATCGTTCTTCTACATTCTTCTTTGTTCTGTTTTCGAATAAACAGATTGAGTTTCGTCTCTCGAGCGAAGACAACGCTAATATATCTCCATCAATTGCTGAGAGAATTGTGTTTTCTGCATGTGTTCAGTGCCGAATCGATATCTCCAAAATTTATATAATTGACAAGCGGCATCGTAGACTAATAATGAAGGTAACTTCGCTCCAAGTTTCAACATTGTCAAAAGATGATCGGTGATTTTACGAGGTCCTTCGTGGTTGACTGAATCAGAAAAACCAATGATAATTCCGCAATTTAAGAACGAAGCAATGAAACCCATTGATCGTTTCTTCGATTCGAAACGCTCATCCATATCATTTCGGCCAACATTACATTGAGATTCTTTGCGATCAAGTTCTCTTAGATATCCCAGATACTGCTGTAATTCATTATCTGACATTTTCGTCTCCAATGACAATTCTTCGGCATGTTTGCTTTGATGATAATCGCAAAAATAGTATGGATGATCTAAGTAAAAAAGTTCGTAAAGTCGATTGCGACTGAAATGTTGATGTACAAAGTCATTATTCTTTCTATTCATCTTCATTTCATTGAATCAATCGAAAATAACTCAGAAAACTTCTAACGATCCAATGACTTGTATGAAAACACGACTAACAGTATCTAGCTTTTCTGCTAAATTACATACGCACCAGACAATTCTTGGTTTTCAGAGTTTTTTCTTCTTGGCATATACGGACAGCCTTTGTTTATTGGACCGAGCTCGGCAGCATTCATAATACTGGTAACATTATCGTATCTGCACACCATACGGCGTCTACATGAAAAAAAACTTCCGACTTATTCATAAGGTGATTATTAACTATGATCAAGTCTTTCATTTTAAAGTTCCTAAGAAAACAGCAAGTCGTTTCCGAAAGTAAACTGACGAGATCATCGTTCCATATCCTGTGCAATCAAAGTCGACTTATTGAAAAACAAATACAGTATGCAAAAATATGATCCAGTCTTAGCTTATCTTTGGTCATACGGAAGCTTAAAAGAAGAGTACTTTTATGGAAAAAAAACATACGGTTTCTGATGACCATCAATAACCATAACTTTCGAGCAGTTTCCACATTTACAAGAGCCAAATACGATTTCATGATTTGACCAAAAAGTTGTAAATATATGGTAAATCCAATTGAGGTTTCTTTCAATAAATATTGCTCTTAATGATTGTTGGCTTTTGATTCTAGTTCGACCTTCACTCATGGCATACGGAAAACGAATATCCTTTGCTTTACTGGTCATGAATATGAAATTTGTCAATTCATAATATAGCCAAACAGCTTCTAAATTGCGAGCAAGACCATCAGCGTTGATATGATCCGTTCTGTTAGGATGGAGTCTATTGAAGACTTTAATTGTAGCAGAGGCAAAGCCTTCAAAAGTAGCATAATCGTCAATTAGTTGTGAAGAAAAGGAGATGAGAATCTCTTTCGAAAAAACGATTGAGCCAGAAAAATGTATAAAATCAGACATTTGCGATTCAGCAGTGACGAGTGTTTGCTTCTGATCCATCAAGTAAACAGATGAGACACGATATGATCGTCGACATACATGACAATCAGCTTTGTAAAGAAGACACGATTGAACTTTTGTACAGTAAACGACTTGACCATAAGATTGGAAAATAGTTTTCAGCTGTGCATCGCATATATTACATACGATTCGATGTGGAAATAGAAGAAGAGGACTAAAACTTCTCGCGAATGTAGATCGAGGTTGTTCAAGTTTATATTCATCTAAATAATGTTGTATTGTTCCAATATTGAAATCAAAATTCAATTGTTGCTGAACATTTTCACTACCCATCAGTACATTATGAGCAACGAGTACTTCGTCTACTGAGTAATCAATACCGGTTTCTTTTTTTAAAATGAAAGATATAAAGTGAAGCCGTTCTTCACTTGTACAAAGGGGTGGTAATGGATAAACATAACTTGGCGGAATTAGACGTCCAACGTTCACGATGACAGTAGCCGCTTTGAGAGTTCTTTTGTTTTCATCTGGAAATGCTTGTTGAACACGTTGAGATACGATTTCAGCGATCGACATCTAGGATAAATAAAACCAAGACAATGAAACAAGTGGACGATAACATAAGCTAGTTCTGGATATACTCCTACCTGTAATACCTCTTAGTAGAGAAAGCGACAGGCGAGATGGTGATAAACGAATTTAAACTGAAGATCAAGTGTGAAAATGATTCTAAAAAGCACATTGTCATACAAGAATCCAAGCAATAGAAAAGAATTCAATTGGGTTAGTTTATAGTGACAAAGCACAGATTCACTTTATCTGCTTTTTCTTTGAAAGTTACGACGAATACTGTTTAGTACCATGAGAAATCTAATCAGTACTGTCAACTTTTTATGAATTGCTACTGAAAGAGAAAGTACTTTGAATTCTTCAGAATAAAGTTTATTGCTCTAGTTTACGTATTCAACAATTACGATTGATTGCAAAACATGTGAGAACGAAGTATACGGTACTTTTTTCAAAAAATGAAATTGCGTTCATAAAATGGAACTACAAAAGCTGTATAACTGAGTAGAATACTACTTGTCGGTATCTTCCGAGAAGAAACTAACGACACGATGAATCAGTACATCCAGGAGAAAAAAAAATGAAAAACAACTTCAATATGTGTAGAAATGAAAAAGTTATGAGTGAATTGATATAGGATTTGTTTACAAAAGGAAAGCAAACGTATGTTCAACACATCAATACTTATTGAAAAAGAACAAATAAACACAATTTGATTAAACACATGAGGGTGTGGAAAGAACAGAACGATCTGACAACATGTGAGATAATACAGCAAGCAAACAAAATGTTCACGCAACGTATTAATGAAAACGCACGAAACAAAGAATAAAGATCGTTGACCAAGAGAAAAAAAGCACACCCTTTTGATGTGAGAACAAACGAATAAAAACTTTAATCCTCACGAACTTTTGGTTTTCGTTTTCGTTTCATTGGCATATCTGTTCCACATATATTCATAGTTTCATCTTGTAATTCTTCAATCCTTTTGCGTTTGTTTGTTAATGATCGTTCGAGTTTTTGTTTTTGTTGTTGCCGAAATTGATCAACCTCTGTGAATAAAATCAACAAATGATTATCAAATCTCAAATTAGATCATATTTAACACTCACGATAATTGGATGTGGTTTGAACTAATTCGCTCGCGGTGTAAACAAATCGTTCACTAATTTCAATATTCTCTTTAAACCACTCGTCACCGTTTATGTGTTTTTGTAACACATCACTAAACAAATAAGATTGATTGGTCGTCTTTCCATCAATCAGACGTTTGTTGTTTCGATTGGGATTCAATGAAAGTTTATATTCTTGAATGTCAATACCAAATTCGACTAAATTAACTGCCACTTGAAGATCAACTGGACTGCCTTTGAGATATCCACTAATAAAGGCATCTTTTGCATCACGAAACCAATCGCCTTTAATCAGTATATTTTTCACTGTAAGACAATCGATTATCTTTAATCTAGACTGTTCGTCAAAAAATCTTGCAGGAATCATTTTGAACAAATCAGTCGATGTGCCCACAATAAATTGTCGTTTAAGAATGATAGATTTCCACATAGAAGGAAAAGATTTCGGATTCATGATAAGATTGTCGACCTCTGAAATACGCAACACATTACAACTGTCATAATTGAAGGCAGAAATAAAAGTTTTGTCAAACATCGATTCACTGATCAAAACTATTTTCACCACTCTTAAGAATCGTCTATGTCTGACAATATGATTGTCATTCAATCTCCACTCGCATGAGAATCTCTATCGGATTTAAAAGGAAATTCTCCTCTGATGACATTACAAAAAAAAGAATGGTTAGACGATTTCAAATGACTTCTCTTCAGTGTTGTTTAACTGTCAGATGACAATACAAATCTCTACCTTCTGTGGACCATTTGGTTGATGACGTGTATGTTGAGCTGGGACGTCCACGTCCTCTCTTCTTTTGTACACCTTGATCGTCGGAATCTGAAAATAGCACATGTCACTTCAAGAAACTCGCGTATACAACGTTGCACAATACTTGTTGGCGATACTTCCATAGTATTTGTAAGGTTATTGAAAAGGTTCACATTTGAGGATGATGGCTTATGTATTACACTTTGATCGTCTGCAGGAGAAAACAGAGAGATAAATTTTTTGTGTAAAGTTGAAGAATAAAACTCACTAATTGATGATGATTGATTCTTAATTCCATTGTTATCTGATTCATCAATCATCATACTCGAAACAAATTGTTCATTTTCATTAAACTGCTCACCCACCGCATCAGTTTGATTTTCATTTGAAACTAAAAAATGAAGAGATAAACAATAAATGATTATAATCAGCGGCAATAATCGCAAGCAAAGCTACGCTTTTTTATGTGAATACTCTATGCAGGAGATCAATTGCAGTATCATGTAATTACATTAATTATTTTCCATTAAAGTGCATTATCAACGTAGATTAGCGTTCCACCATACAATCGTATTTATCAGAACGTTCTTTCTATTATTCGAAGCAAGAAAAAGAAAACTACCTGAAGTTGATTCATCTGTAATAACAATTGATGAAGCTGCTGTTGCTCTAGGTGCCAATGTAGAAGAACGATGTTGTTGCAAAGAATCTATACAGTCAAAAATTGAAAAGAAGGAAACCATTCATTTTGTCAAATTCAGTTTATAAACAAATAAAACATTCTCATTCATTTACATTCCAGACATGATCCAGATGTATTGCCGTCACAAACGGAATTCGATTTGCTGTGTGATGTCAATACTTGCATATTGGAATCAGCCGTGGTTTCGTTCATTTCTTTCAATGCTGGAAATTGGCCTTCACTTTCTGTTGTACTATCAGCATTTGATGAAATCGGACTGATTGAAACTCCTTCAATATTTTGTTCAACTTGTCGATCTAAATCAGAGAAATATATAACATAATTATCATGCTTTCTTACCTGTTTTCGATTGTGCAGTAATTTCACTGTTGGTTTCAATATGATAGATAAAATCAATTTCATTTGTTGTATTCTTCGCGATGTTTGAAGAAGTGTTGTTTAACTCAGTCGTATTGATCTCTTGATTAGGTTCGTTCTGTTGATCCTTGCCAGGAACATGGCCACTTAAATATAAATTATCTATAAAAAGAAAAGAAGACAAACGACATGTGATAGAAATCGAGAATGAACGTTGCATGTAAGATTGAGCGAACCTTTATCTGGTATAATCTGACCGAGACGAACACGTTCATCTACCATTTTTCGAAATGATTCGAAACGACGATCTTCTTTATAATAATTGTGATAGTATTGTACAAATTGGTCATTGATTTTCAGGAATTGGACAGCTTCGTCGGTAAATTCGTTGTTTAATGGTAAACATTGATGTTCAAATGATTTTTCATAACGTAACATATCCATGTTTAATCTCTAAATGTAATGATAATTATTTCAATTATGATTAGTATTCTTCGATATTTTTCTTTAAGACATTTCTGGACTAGGTCCTTCCTCTTATCAGACCCAAATTTGAAAGTAGATGCAGACTTGAATTCATTATGGAACGAGATTAGAATGAATTCAGTTAGTCAAGTATTTACTGTATGTCATGGATGTATCAAAGAAATAAAACGTGGTAATATTTACTTCAAAAGCTTGTAGAATACGAGGATTGTTTTTAATTATTGACGGCAATTGTTTACAGAAAGATGAATGCTGTAAATCTTCTTTACCATTATGACTTCTTTTGATGAATTTTCCACCGATCAGCAACCCATCATCCATTAAAGCAGTCAAGACTTCATCTGGCTTCACATCAGAGGAGTGACAAAATTGTCCGGATCCTGCACCTTGCCGTTTGTTGGTCAAATACGTTCGAGTGAAAAAAACGACTGGAAAGTTCATTATTTTCGTCTTTGCTCTATCTAGTTTACAATCTTTTTCACATCTAAATGAGAACAATGTATGAAAATCCATCTTCATTATTGTGGAAACACATGTACTAACGTTTCAGTCGATTTTTTTCCTAGTCGTTGATTAATTACATCATTCAATGATTGGAGTGTAAGCAAATTTTCAACAACCAACATTTTACGTTGATATAAAGTAAAGCCGACGGTAACATCATAGGTATTCGACCAAATAATCCATTGCGAGTCGTTAATTTGTTGGCATTCAGTTAGCAGAAACGTTTTTATCGATTGTTCCATTGCATGCTGAAATGATGCATCGATCGAAGCCACATCGGATGTTGATCGATCCCCTTGTCTTTGGTCAATATACTTTAAGTTATTACTCATCAATCGAAATACAATACGAATGACTTTCATTGACCAAATGCATTTCGATAACATGCTTACTACTTTACGAAAGATTGGTTTCAAATGTTTTTCTGAAGAATTTGATGATTTCCACCAATCATTAATAAAGGTTGTTAACAGATTAAAAGAAGAAGCATCATCGTCGCCATAGTTATCTCCTCGAATATCATTGTCGGTCAAAGAAGTTGCATACGTGGGTGGTGCTGTGACATTTTGCTTTTCCAATTCTTTCATCAGACGTTCTTCATAATCAATACCTATAGATGAAAAGAGTTAAAAAGACATTTAGCAATAAAGCGAACGACTAACATATGGAAGATCGTGAAAAATACCTCAATGCTCAAAATGAATCGCAGTAAAGACTCAAAGATAAAACTCTGATTTTGAATATTGGAAATCGAGAAACAAGGGAAGACACTTACATTCCGAATTAATCAACATAACATCAGATTTATGTGCCATGTAACGAAATTGAAATTGGTTTTTAAAAAGATAAGCAACTGCATGAGAAACATGAGAAAATGAAGCAATATTTGTGAACGATTTTGATTTAATTTTTGGTAATTCATCAATAGCTGGGCACCATGTATAAAAGACACGTCCAAAGACACCATCCTGAACTCGAGCTTCATGAAAACGTTGAAGCATTGAAGTCAATTTCGTACCAGTACTCGCAACAAACATATTGAATCGTGCTACTGGTCTATTGATTTTAATTTGTGTAACGCCAGTTCCTCGGATAAAACCACCGCGAATACCATCGGACGCATCACAAAACAAACTTACACCTGAGGCTGTGTCAGGTTTACTTTGATCATAATAACCTAGTTTACCAAGTGCAACATCTCCATCCGAATGTAATAAGATGGTGTTGATTTTCGATAGATTTGCAAGCAATGCTACTTCTGTTGCATTTGAAACCATCAAAGAATATTCCGATGTTTGTGGTTTGTTTTTGTTTTTATCGATATGAACGCCACCATCATTAGTAACTTCTTCCTTGTTTGAATTTTGTTTCGAAGAGGAATATCGATCAGGAAATGAGTTAATGACGCTTTGTAAAGCTGCCGACACTTCATGACAAATTGAACTTTTATTGGATGCTAAAACACAAAGAACAATTGATTGTACAAAAACATATCACTCAGTAATTAACTTGCAACTTGATTTTGTATGGAAACTCAGCTGTCACTCGATTATCTATACGTCTTAGTGTATTGTCCAATATAAATAATAAACGAAATTTTCTTCTTTCAGGCATAGGATGTTTCCTCTATTTTCTACATAATTTTAGATAGACAACAAGAATACGCCTGTCTGATTAGATTTGATGAAAAACTAGACGTACCACTTTCACCTAATAAATGGTGATTTTGATTTAAAAAACCGATGCTTTTATTAACAGGATTATAATAATACGATTGATCAGATAATGCACCAACGATCGCACTCAAAGCAGCTAATGTCATTTCATAAGAATGACCATTACGTTGTTGCTCTTTTAAAAAACATAAGAGGTACCAATCATCTTTATGATCCAGGAAATCAATATCAAAAATTGGTAACGAATTTAATTGCTGAAAGTTGGAATCCAGAACCGATGCATAATCAATAGAATTCGCATAACTTGTCGACCGATTGCTTGCCATAGAATATCGTGAAATTATATTTTCAGATCTAAATAATGAGAAAAGGCAGTTTAACTCGAGAAGATATCCTGTCGAAAGAGCCTAGTTGTGATAAATGCGTACTGAATTGGTTAAAACGATGGTATTTATAGAGATAGGATAAAACAAAGAGATTTGAATTAAACAATGGAAATGACCTGGACAAACTTATTCCTGTTCTCCTGTATAGAACAGATGAATATCGTCGGACTATTCACTACGGCAATAGAAACAAAGAAGATGAATATAGAACGCACTGTAAAAATGTCTTCGTCTTAGAAAATAAATCTTTTTTCGCACTAGTATAACTAAATGATAAGCACAAAAAGAAAATTCCATTCAATACTGATTTTATTGAGAAAACTTTGAAAAACAATTTCGGTTTCAAAAAATAATTTCTTTAATGCATTGAAAATAAATCCAACATTTGACATGAATAAAGATGCCACTAACGACCAGTGTATCATTTATTTATCACCGGCAATATATCTTGGTGGATCTCATAATGATATCATGCACAAACGATAGACAAAAGAATAAATGGAACTGGATTTCTAGTTAAACCATCACCTTCACTATCGTGTGTATATGCATACGTATATATGTATAAAGGTAAATCATACAGAAAATGAATACATGATGGGTAAACACGATATGAGGAGTGCAAATTATTCAATAAAGGTTTTGATAACAGAAACAAAAGACTCAAAGTAATATAAACTTCACATTGCCGAATACGAAAAATCTTTCTTTTCTCGATTCCTAACAACAACTTTTATCCGGCCATATGCAAGTTTATTATGAAACGATTTCAAGTGGTAAGAAAATGTTATATATAAATGATCTCAATACACATCGACGATTATGCCATTCTGACGTCTTAGTATGTTTAAAATGCAAGTGATATTATCTTCAAATCAAATCTATCTGATTGTTAGGTATTGACATTTTGTAATCGAAACATCACTGTTGCATTTTATGATCCTTTTAAACGCTTCTCCATGAAACAGTGTCGCATATCTCGTTATGCTTTTAAATTAGTTGTTACAACAATCAAACAAACGAATGAAAATTTTAAACGGTCAATTTAGATATCAGTGACACGACGTTTTCTCCCCAAACATATTGAACTATCATCTGCATATATCATTTACCGTGAAACTGTATTGACAATATCGCACTAAAAGAGCGTGTGAAACGCAACCAATCATTAAACCCATGAAAATAAAAACATCTGAGATGTATTTTCATATATGGTTCAGCGACTACTGTTGCACATCCTTCTTTTCGGGACAAGGTACTCCACAAAATCCAACTTATAAAAAGATAAAAATATGATTATCGCAACATGACTATTTGAGTATTAATCTGTGAAAACTCGCTTTCATTTAACTCACCATGACCACAATGACCACAATGACCACATTGACCACAATGACCACAATGACCACATTGACCACAATGACCACAATGACCACATTGACCACATTGACCACAATGACCACATTGACCACAATGATACTATATTAACCGCGAAAGCACTAAAACCGGTGAGCTCTTATGTCACGGTGAGTTGACGAGGTGTGGATAAATCATATGTATATGTAGATGTATCAGTTGTGTGAGGTTGATAGGACAGATCATTTGTTTCAATTGTTCATATGATTTAAAAAATACGATTTTGTCGAGATATATGACTGAACTGGAATTTGCCACAAAATCAAATTCCCCATGAACTCTTTTTCACAAAACACGACCATAGATGAGCTGAAAAGGAATTTATTTATTGAAAACTGGTCGACAGACATGAATTAGTCTTCTTATTATGAACAATGTTCACCTTCGATATGTTTTTATATCAGTGTTGAACGATTCAATATCTTCTCTATCATTGCTGCCATACTAGGTCTCCAAGGTGGTTTGTCGATTGTCCTCAAATGGATCTGCCCGAAACTTATACAAATTGGATTTTGGATGCATAACAAGCGAAAGAATCCAGCGAACTCTATTGGTGCAACGGATTCAGTTCCAGATTCGTCTCATGTCAACTCCAATTCCGGCGAAAATAAGACAACACCAACGAATTCAATATACCAGTAATACGTTCTCTCTCCTACTTTACTATGAAAAACTTTTCTATTATATTTCATAGTCGATTGTTCATCAAAGTCACATTTACAATTATACTATTACTATGTATATCCGGAAGTTTTGTACTCTTTTCAGTACAATATATTCGACGAGGTAAAAATATTCACGAAAACAATCGTTAAACATTTCCTTACTAGATTCTTTGCCAACCACATCAATAGATATTAGTTCCAATTCAACAGTAATGCCAATGTCGTCGACTACATCAGGTGATTATAACACATATCTGTGACGATAAAGATATTACCCCCTGGGGTGATATCAATATATGATCATCTCTCCTAATCATGCGTATCCTCTTGTTCTTCTCTGTTTTCTTCTTTCCCTTTCTCTTTCTATATAAGCGTGTGTCTTATTGTGAAGTGGATACATTCTGGTCATGTAGAGTAGTCAATAAACATCGATACCGTGAGAAGCGGTCAGCTACTCAACCAGTTTGTCGTTACAATATCATCTTTTGATATTTTCTATTTCTTACTTTCAGAACCAATATGCCTCCCTAAATTTAATCGACTGTCAATGAATGTGATATGTCTAGGATCACTAAGAGATCTAGCTATTGTTGCTGATGTAAACAATGACAGTCGAGTCGATTTGATTTTAGTTTGCACAGACAGTCATACGATAAATGTACTCCTCAGCAATGGAGATGGCACATTTCAAACACCGATCGCCTCTTTATTTAAGCTTTTCGGAGTGATAGGCATCCACGTTGGTGATATAAATAATGATACCCGACTCGATCTGGTTTTAATGGTTTCAGTTAATAATACTGGGATGTTAAGTATCGTCTCTATATTCGGGAATAGTAATGGAACATTTCAAACACAACACAGGCAATCAATAAATACGAACCATTACATATCTCATTCTATTTTAGCTGATCTTAACCAGGATAATTAGCTGGATATTATACTGGCAGGTGTTCGAGAATATATTTATATATACTTTGGAGATGGTACTGGAAATTTTTCGTTACAATCGAATCTATTCACAGGAAGGAGAAGTAGCTCTGGAAAGATACTTCTTGCTAATTTTGATGGCGATAATCATCTTGATATTGCTGTAATGGATCGATATGCTGCTCATATTCATGTGTTTTTTGGAAGTAATCAAGGAAGTTTCCCTTTACACCAATGGTTCTTCACTTCAATAAACGTTGAACGTCGTAATATTGTACATGGTAACTTCCGCCGAGGTAATCAATCTGATATTGTATTTCTTCGCTCTTGGGCAAATACTATCTTCACGTCATATCGATACAGTAACGGTTCTTTTCATGCACGTGAACGGATTGTTTTAGAGTCAGAGTTATGGTTGGAATCAGCCGTTGTATCTGATTTAAATGGTGACAATTATCCAGACATCGTTGTTACCAGCCATTTTTCATATATGATCCGTAGTTTTCTTGGAGACGAAAATGGCAACTTTCGAGCACATACTATTTATTTGAATGAATTTGGCGGTGTTGAAGTTTGGACTGATGTAAAAGATTTTAACAACGATAATTGTCAAGATATAATCATTGTGACCGATAAACTTCAAACCATAGATATCTTCCTGAATACGTGTCATTGCTTTACTTGAGGCGTGAGGATGAAAACTTAATAGCGGATAATATTTTTCTTCTGCTGATAATCTGCTGTTTTTGTCAAGAAGTTGTATGGCTTTTATTAATACGGTGCGCTAGCTAGGATCCATCATTTTGCGTATTTGTGCGTACTTCATACATAAGTATAAATAACTGTTTTATCAGAAATTCCGCGCTTGACATAAAAAATTCTTAGGCGGCTTTTCCAGAAAAATACCTCTAAATCTATTTACTTCAGTGAAGAGACAAGCACAGCAAAAATGGTGAACAAAATTAGATTCAGATTTATCATCCACCACCACCGATTTTTTTCGATGGACTGTTGCAAGACAATCACTTGTATATCTTCGTCTAAGTCGTGTAGTCGTGAATGAAATGCAAGCATATAAAGAGTCATACAGATGGCCAAGTTGTTTTTTTTCTGATCTTTTCTACGTCAGATAGAGAACCATTTTTAACGGCGTACCCCATATCTTTATCGAATATTTCGTGTGCCTTTGAGCTCATCTACTATGGCGCTCTTTTGGCCTCACTCCTCCCCGACGAACATCTACCTTCAAGACCCATCACAAACGATGTTTGAACAAATTTTGAACATTGCCAAAAAAATGTTCTTTTGACCTTTGATCCTGACACAAACATACAGACACACAAACAAATTTTTTTCATAGGACCTTCCTTTCAGTCGAGGGAACTTTCAGGTTATGGGTGAAGGTGGAATGACCGGTGACGGCCAGGGTGTGAGGGTTGATAGGTTTCATCGTCCTTTCTTCATACATTACACATGAAACCATGGTGTCTACATAAAGTAGTGCTAAGAGCGTTGCGAACTATCGTGCCATCTGCATATCGGCGCAACGACAAAAGACATTTTTCAATGGGAGACATTTATCTGAAGAACATTTTTTCTAAGGTCTTTTTTCAAAGGACTATATATAAAGGACATTCTAGCATGTATTTGTTTTTATACTGTCAAAAGAATTCACATTTTCGTAATTATACTTCTACTGTCATGGTTAAAAAAACGATGTTTATGCAGTTCATAATGAAAAAAAGTATAAAAGCTATATTGGAAAACCGTACTGAAGTGTTTAATAAAATTTAATTTATCTTATTGTACCATTACTAAATGTTCCCGATCGAGGCTTTATTTCAGATCTTGAGCGACTACTACGTCCATTATGAACACGAACAGCGGTCCTATTATTTTGTGGATATTGTCTGATGCCAGATTCACGCGTATTCAAATGTTGATTATTTTCTGTAGAAGCTGCAAATGAAATACATGTTATCAGTAATATCATTCAATGCTCAGTTATTTTTACGAATCGAAATCATCTGTACTATTTACTCTTTTCAGTATTCTACCATTTTGCTATCACAAAGTACGTACGTAGAATCATGAAGACATTTAAGAAATGATAAAGTAGTCAGTTTTCCATTCATCTATCGCTATTACCTGGCCTTACAGTAAATTGACGCCGAGTAACAACAGGACGATTGTGCCCTTGTATGTGAACGGTGGGAACTTCATATTCTGTCCACTCAGTTAATACCCAAGGTCCTGATACAGAAGCATGCGTTATCTGCGCAGGTCTGTTGCCCATTGTATACACAATTGATCACTAGTTAATGAATGTACGAATACTTTAAAAATGCTATTTGTTCAATGTATATATATACTCTCCGAAAAGGAAGAGATGAAAATCGTTCGGGCTTTTTTCCAACTACCGCAAGGTATATCATTTTATGTGTCAACACTTTCGAGTTCCTAATGTGAAAAGGAAGAATGAATAAAAAGAAATCAGAAATCATTTGTGACTAATTATTTTCATGATTTTGATATGCCACACCTAATATGTTTTAACCTTTTGAATACCACTGTCTCCAGGCTAAAGACAAACAGAACAAGCCAATCATTTTTCGTTCTATCGTATCAAAGAGTAGACGTTTTGAATTACGAATTTCATTCGTCTAAAATATTTTATGGTATTTTTCTGAACGTCATGTTCAAGATAACTTTTGTTTGTCATGCCGGAACACAGCTTATAAATTTTTCAATCATTTCATCTGTTTAAATCTACGCAAAATAGACTTTTCAAAATGAATTTGGTCACATAAGATATTTTGAGTGATAACATGAGAAATAATGTTTTGTTCAAGATAGAATCGTCTTGGATTATCTAGTGTAAGTGAACGATTTTGGAGCTCTGTAAAGAAGACTTTTAGTGAACCTAAAAGCAGAAAACAAAGTTACATAAAATATTGTAGTGAAATTGTTGGTGGTACTGCTTTTCAATGTCCGGCAAAAAGACAAAATTATCGTAATCAATGTCCTTCAGGCAATAGATAAATAAACACAAATCAATTATTGGTTATGCAAAAAATATTTCATGTTACATTTTTTCCTTTCATTGATTATTTCCTTAACAAAAAAAAAACACTATTTAAGTTTGAGGCAATCAATAATTACTAAATTCACTTCCTACAGAGAATCTTATATGTCCATTTTTCACCTTATATTAGTAATAGCGTTTGATAAAGATGAATCAATGCATCAGAAACGTTTCTTTCACAATTATATCAAAAGAAAATGAATGCACGTAGGAATATGGAGATACGTACCGAACGATTCTTTTATGATAGGAAAGAACGAAAAAAATATTCAATCAAAAACGTATGGATATGTACTTGAATTATTCATAAGCGACTGATTGGGATTAAAATATTATTGTATATAGCATATAAATTTGACGTAGTAGACTTTGCATGTTAACAACAAAAATTTGTTATTTAATAAATTACAGTAATTGAAATATTCAGACATTAATACGATACGTATTTGTTTGTTGTGTATATTTTCTTTGAAAACAAAATCATACAGCCTATTTGATAATTTCCAACATACAGATATGCACGATTCATATACGTATATTTACATTTGTCACTTGGTACCGTAAAAATATGACGAGTAAATTAAAACTTCAAAGAACTTTATGGATCCGAATGTGAGTGTCACTGATAATATGAAAGATTCTCATACTGTATATGAAGAAGTATTTAAAAGTGAAATCTGTAAAATGATATCGATCATTTTGTGTTGTTATTTTTCACTGAGAAAGAGAATTGAAGTGATCGTGATTATACGTTTACTGTAATAAAAAAAAAAGTACAGGACGTAATGGAAAGTCGTATCAATATAAAGCAAGGCCACCGAATTCTCTTGGTGCACCATTATTAAATCTTCCCGGCCCAGGTTGTACTTCAGGCATTTAATGACGGCCATGTCTATTAACAGGAACCCTTATCACATTTCCTCCTCGAAAAGGTGACATATTGTATTTTGCATGTTGTTGTCTGATGCCAGGTCCACGTCTGTTCAAATACGGATTATATCCTGGAGAACCTTCAAACAAAATATATATTATTATTAGTAATACTATTCAAATATGGCTATTACCTCGCATCATCAAATTTTGATTTGAAGGAGCAACAGGACGATTATGACGTTGTGCAGGAACGACGGGAGCTACATATTCTGTCCACTGAGTTACTGCCCAAGGTTCTGATACAGAAGCATGGTTTATCCGCTCAGATCTGTTGCCCATTGTATACACAGTTGATCGCTAGCTAATGAATGTACGAATACTTTAAAAATGCTATTTGTCCAATGTATATATATATACTCTCCGAACAGGAAGAGATGAAAATCGTTCGGGTTTTTTCCAACTACCGCAAAATATATAATTTTGTGTTGCAATTTTTCGCTTCGCGTAATGCGAAAAGGAAGAATGGATAAAAATGAGGGATCATTTATGACTAATTATTTTCATGATTTTCATATACCGCACACCTGATATTTATCAAAAATTGAAAGCCAAGTTGGAAAATATATTGCAAGCATTTCTTTCTTAATATACGTTTCATTCCTCTAAAATGTTCTAATCTTATCGAGAGAACATATAGAAAAAATGTCATTTACACTACACAAGCACATTCGCATATAGCTCAATATCATACTAATATTGCAATTCTAATTGCACGTACTTGTATAAATTGCATTCAAAAAAATGTTGATATTTGTTGGTGAAAATGGACTGAACGTGATTCATAAGGAGACAAGGTACTGTATTTTGAGAAAATATTCAATGGAATCAGTTGAATTATCTGAAAACATTGTTTTTACAAAAATATCAAATATATGTAAAAGATTTGTCAGATTCTCGACTGAGACGTTGATTCGAGGGAAATTTTCCATGTTTACGATTAAATTTATGATTAAAGGGCTTTTTCAATGAAATGAAATCAACTTCGACTTAGAAATACTTTTTCCCAACTTTCTTCGTTTTGTTTTATCGACACCAGCAAATTCGAACAAATACTGTTAGGATATTTGTTATCTGGACATTTCCATGCTCTTTTCTTTCGTTCTTTCTTGTCGTCCTTTCTATATGACGTTTGACATACGTATAGATGGGACTTATCCTATATCTTGTTGTGTGTTGGTTTTTTCAGTACCTATCTACAGCGATAAAACAATCAACGGTAGGTGTTCCATTTATTTGATTCTTTATGACTGATTGTAATCATAGACACTCATCGCCTTGGATCAGATAATATTGGAGGCGAAGAAGCGCATCGTCTTACTGATGCATTAAAATTCAATCAAGTGGCGTCCAGATAGGTCAAATCTAGTCACAGATGTTTTTATTTTCTATTCATGTAAACACTTTCGACACTTAAGCTTCGTGGAAATCAAGTTGGTTCAATAGGCAAACAACATCTGGAAGATGTTAAACGAATTAGAAGAGTTTGTTCGTCATTTGATTTATTTCTATTGTACTCAACGATTTTGTTTAGACACCAATAGAATTCGATTTCAATAGTATGGCGATTGCAATAGAGAACGAACGTGTGCTGAGGAATACAGCATATCTTCGATAGATGCGACTCAACTCCTATGTCCACAAGACTCATGGAGTTTTTCATGGCATTGCTCTTGTGCATCAAAAAGATTCGATATTTGTGAAAAATGTGCGAATGAATAGAGCAGAGGTGCAGAATCTTCCACGCACGCGCCTATACGAACAAGGAGAGTTTTTGAAAAACTATATGTTGCTCCGAAAAACTGCCACGTTGACGAATTTCTTGGATGAAGGTGGGTGTGGGAACCAAGGGAGGGAAGAGAACACCCACCCTCAAGATCTAACTTTAGTTCTGAGTAAGGGTACTGTAATGATTTTGATAGAGAGATGTGTGTGCTAAAGATTCCACGCCGTTGTTCATTTATTTCGCTCCAGAATTACATGGTTCTTTGACACAATGTACGCGTATGTAATTGTTCACCCAAGAGTAAGAAAGGAAAGATGGAGTCAAAGTACTGTGAAATGAATCCAACAAGAATAATCAAAAGGATAAAAGTCATACATACAACGCATACAAACGAGCGTGTTACAAAAAAAGAACAACATGCTGTTGTTTAAACTAGTTTTCTTGACGTTTGAGTCAAAATGTATTGAGAAAAAACTATCGATGATCCAAATCAAATAATAAAAACCATTTTCAAAATTGTTGAAAAATGTTCATTAATACAAAAATCAATACTGCGTAGTTATTCAAATATGAACTTCACTAGTAAAAGATATTGAATAAATTGATGTTTTCGAATAGAAACAAAACAACAGTTGTTTTTTATCCACTTTATCCGTAATGTTGCCAACAAAGTAGAACTCATTTTTTTAAAAGTTTTCAACAGAATTTGATTAAGAAATTGGTTTAACCAAAAACGATTATCATATCCAAAGCTTTTGTACTTCGTAATATGAGACATAAAAAGTAAAAAGGACGTAAACATGATTTCTAGAATCGATGTGAAGCTAGCACCACGTAACTAAGAATTTTATCAAAATGAATTCCCGTCCGTGAAAATTAGCCTATTCGATTCAGAATTTTTCGTTCAAATCAAGCCTGCCCTGTTGTAAATTAAGGTAGACTCGTTCCTACTCAGGCCTAATGGCTCCGCCGCCTATGATAATTAATAGTCATAGAAGCAAAAGCAAGTGTTAGATATTTTCAGCTGTCATGATATTTTACTGAAAGGGAAGCAAGCATTCACTTTAATTCTATATCAACTGGAATAGAACAAATATTTATGAACATTCGATAAACTGACTCTTTATTAAAGCTTTTCTCGCAAAAGAAAACATTCAAAATCTGAGTGAGACTCCAAACATTGCGCGTTTTTCTCAGCTTATAAATACAAAATCGACGTCGTTAATCATAATAATAATAATACCCGTCTAAAATGTTTGCCTATGAAACTAGTGTAGAAACAGCGAGAAAACATTCAAAAAAAAGAATATAAAAGAACAAGGTATTTTTTATACATCATTTGCAGTTTAAATTGGCAAGATGAAATAATGGTTTTTAATAGTATTGTTTTTTTCTCGATTGCATTCAGTTTGGTGAAGGGTACACCTCAACTGACTCTATATTGGACAGATTTAATGTATGATCTTACAAGTGGAATTGTTTCTGAACATGATTGTCTTTATATTGCTGCTAGTTCATATCGAAGCGAAACTGATTTTAATCAAATCATTCCGTATTGTTTGAGCGAATGGCCATCACAATGGCATATCGAAGAAAATAAGCTCGATCAGAAATTAACTTTTTCTTACCTTCGTCAACACAATATTACTAGCCAACAGTTATATGTTTGGTCAGCACCAATTGACATAATCGAGCGTTATCAACGATATTTATCTCAATCCGACTCGTCGTTAGAATCACAAGTATTCTATAACTGCACGTCGCCAACATTCGGTCCATTCTGTCAGTATTCATTGGATATTCATGGCATTCGTCATTCATCATTACATGAAATTATTTATGATTTCTATCAAGAAGGTTATAATCCCGAAACACTGACATGTTATACACATCTAAAGTGTGATCGTGGTTCAGTCATCGCATGTCTCGATTGGACTGAAATTTGTGATGGGTACATAGATTGTTTAAATGGTGGCGTCGACGAAGAAGATTGTTGGCAAATTGGAATGAATGAATGTAGAAATGACGAATATCGATGTTATAACGGTCAATGCATTCATATGATATTTGCTCATGATGGCCGAGATACTTATGAATGTCTCGATGCTTCTGATGAATATTCTGATACAAGTATGACTCAACTTTGGTCATCTGTTGAGCCAACATTATCTAAAGAAGATGCTCAATGTAGTACAAGAAATGCTCTATTTAGTATTAGTCTTACAAGTTCATGTGTAGAAAAACGTCATATTCTTTTAAAGAAAATCATTTTTTCTGACATACCAAAATCACTCTCTGAACTTTGTTGGTTAGCATTTAAATGTGAAATTGGAATTCTCAATCAAATCGATTTAATATGTAATCAATTATGTTCGAATCGAACATGCAAACAAATAATTAATGAAACTTGTCCTGATGTATTCTTCATACCAAATCGAACATTTATTTTTGGTCATATTTTCTTTGGTTATCAAAAATCGAATATCATCAATACGAATTATCAATATCAACCCCAATACATATGTTACGATGATCGATTATGCAATGGTTTCTATATTAATGCATCTTTATTGCAGTTCAATGGTACAATTTGTCGACGTCCTGAGGATTTTCCTGTGGAACTTCCTTTGATAGGAAATACGGACTGGATAGACACTTATTTGAAATTTATCTATCAATCTCTTTTTCAATGCAATACAGTAATCCATCATCATGTTACTCCATGTAATAGTCCTGATATGTATAAATGTCAAAACTCATCGAAATGTATTTCCAGACATCAACTTTGTGATTATGTCAATGATTGTGATTACAAAGATGATGAACGATGTTTGTTAATCAATGGTACTTGTTCGACGTTGGAATCCTACAATCTGTTCAAATGTACGATGATAAATCGATGTATTTCACCAAAAAAAGTCGGAAATCAATTCTGTGACTGTGAATTAGATGAATATAATATATGCGCTGATGAATATGAACTTTCTATTTTTGCTCAAATAAGAAATTACATTTCATTTCCAACTATTTGTGATGGTTTTACTGAATTGGCACCAGTTCTCATTGATGGCCGGAATGAAACCGATGAAACAGAATGTGATTATTGGCAATGTAACAATACTTATACACGATGTAACGGATTTTGGAATTGTTTCGATGGAGCTGATGAAGTCGATTGTGATTCATCATCGTTATTACAATGTTCTCAACATGAACATATATGTGTATCACCGATAACTTATCAACTCATGTGTTTACCACTTGCACAAGCCAATGATGGAAAAATTGATTGTGTTGGAGCTACGGATGAACCGAGACTTTGTCGCGCAAGTAATCATCAATTTAAAGATGAGAATTTCTATTGTCGAAACACTACTAATCAAACTTGTACAACATTTAATGATATTTGTTATCGAGACGAAACGTGTATACATGGAAGTAATGTTTTATTATGTAATCATACTAGAAATATCACTAAGTCGCATCCGATTTGTCACAAAAGCCACGCTTCAAACCATACTAATGTTCAGCGTTTTCTTTGTCAACGGCCTAGAGATAATATGAAAGAAGTAATCATTTACTTTTCCATGGATCAAATGATGTCACCTATCGAAAATCTAATCCTTAATTATCAAGAAATACCTTTTGTCTCCATTTCACCAGAGATTCTACATGAACAACGCTGTCATCGTGGTTTGCCTTTACGAGTTTGGTTGAATAAAAATGAAAATTTCACAATCGCCAAGTGTCTTTGTCCACCAAGTTTCTATGGTGATAAATGTCAGTATCAAAATCAACGAATTGGTCTTACTTTAATATTTCAAACATTTTCTAATTCAAGACAAGTATTATTCGCAATTGCTATTTTACTTATCGATAATAGTGATGAAAGAATTATTCATTCCCACCAACAACTTCTCTATCGTTATACTCATCATTGTGAAACGAAATTTAATTTCTATTTGGTTTATTCAACACGACCGAAACTTTCCACACGAAATTATTCTATTCATATTGATATCTATGAGAAATTATCGTTTATATATCGTGGAAGTTTATTAATTCCAATAGAATATTCATTTCTACCTGTATATCGTGTCTCCATGCAAATTACTATACCAAGATCGGAAAGAATCATCGATACTTGTACTGATCAACAATGTATTCATGGAAGATGTATTCAATATTTTAATGATGAAAATCATCGTAGTTTCTGTCAATGTAATCGAGGATGGTCTGGAAAGTTTTGCACAATTCGACATATATGTACATGTGCTGATGATTCGTTATGTATTGGTATTTCAGCAAACAATCGATCGATTTGTATTTGTCCATTGAATAAATGGGGATCACAATGTTTTCTCCATAGTGAACTTTGTCAAAAGGGTAAAAATAATGTTTGTCAAAATGGCGGTCAATGTGTTCTCATTAATGAAAATCTAATCGCTAACAAACAGTTTATTTGTATCTGTCCGAAAGGTTTCAGTGGAAGAACATGTGAAATTATAGACAACAAACTGATTATTACATTTCATAAGGATATTATTCTATCGTCAACATTACTTTTTCATTTCATTCGAGTGCACCGTAATGCTCCACCCGAAAATGGTTCAACATTTAAAACTGTTTCATTCAATGAACGATCATTTACAGTTTATTGGTCACATGACTTTCATATAGTTTTCGTTGAATTTCTCCATAATCAATTTTATTTAGTAGTCAAACAACAAAAACATAATCAATCATCAGTTCTTACAAGATTAATCTATCCATCAGATCGATGTGCACATATAAGTGAAATATTTAATGAAACAATTCTTAATTTACATCTTCTTCGTCGTATTAAATATTATCATTTACCATGTCAAAAACGTTCACTACTCTTGAAATGCTTCTATGATAATACACATTTTTGTCTCTGTGATGATTTCAATGATCATCATCGTTTAGCCAATTGCTTCGAATTCAATTATGAAATTCAACATGATTGTTTTGGACAAAATAGTTGTGAAAATGAAGGTAAATGTTTACAAGATCGGCTTAGATGTCCGAAAACATCGATATGTATTTGTCCAAAATGTTTTTATGGAACACAATGTCAGTTTTCTTCAATTTTATTTGGTCTGTCACTCGATGCTATTCTAGGATATTCTATTCAACCACACGTCAAGATAGAACATCAACCGTCGACTGTTCAAATAAGCGCTGCATTAACCATTATTATAACTGTGTTAGGATTTACAAATGGTATTTTATCATTAATTACATTCACGAGTAAAGAAACACAAAAAATAGGATCTGGTCTTTATCTACTTGTTTTATCCATTCTTACTCTATTTACAATGATAATATTTACAGTGAAATTTTCGATACTCTTCATTGCTCAACAAACATATATGACGAATCGATTGTTTTTATCTTCTCAATGTATAGCGATAGATTTTCTACTACGAATTGGTATTCATATGGATCAATGGTTAAATGCTTGTGTAGCTATGGAACGAACAATGACTACTATACAAGAAAGTAGATTTAAAAGAGAAAAAAGTAAACAAATGGCTAAATATATGATAGGTTCTCTTTTTCTGTTGGTGATTAGTACAACAATTCATGATCCTTTCTATCGACGTTTGATAGATGATAGTAATGATGAAAATGAAAAACATCGTATATGGTGTGTTGTTACTTATCCAACCAATGTACGAATGTATAGTTCAATGATTAATATTTTTCATTTTATTACACCGTTTCTGATAAATTTGTTCTCAACAATGATTATGATTAGAATACTGGTTCGACGGCGAGCACGTCTTCGACCTCATGAAACTTATCAAAGATTACTATCGGAACAATTTCGACAACATCTTCATTTACTTCTAGCTCCTCTTCTGTTAATTATTCTTGCTATACCACGTCTCATTATATCTTTTGTATGGGGCTGTATGGAATCAAACAACGATTCGTGGATATATCTTATTGGTTATTTTATTTCTTTCATTCCACCGATAATTACGTTCATCGTCTTCGTACTACCGTCAAATCTGTACAAAAGAGAATTTTACAAACATATTCAACATTATCGATTGAAGATAAGAAATCGAATACAACCCATTGTATGAACATCACTTCAGTATAAATCACAATTAATACATACGTAATTAAATAATAAAAACGATTGTGAAAATCTTGAGAGTGTGGGTGGGGTGAAAAATTTTTATGATTAGAACCGATAGAGCTCATCATGTTGTACTTGGAACCAGTGTTGGTTCGATTGGAACGTACGCTGAAACGAATTGGCTCAAGAAAATGTTCAATCCTGTCCGAAAGTATCTTACGTCATTTCTAGATCAATCTGGACAATATGATCCTATTGACATTGGAAATAACATGAAAATTTCCAGCGTACGTATACGTATGGAGCACGCTATAGGTCGAATGCATATATTTCGTATTTTGGCAACTTTTCTTTCTTATCAATTGTTCTCTAATAGAAATCAAATTGTTTTTGTTCGCGCTTTTTCATGTATAGAGACAAAAATGAAAAGCTTGATATACAATCATAGATTAATATTCAAAAACTAATCTAAACGAAATCTTCATCATATTCTGAGCTCGATTGTCAATGGGGAACAAGCGGACTTATATATTTCCGAAGTACAAAAGTCCCATGAAGTCATGAGAAGTATGGAAGAATTGTTTATATATATATTAATTTGGTTGCATATTTCTGTATATTTATTTATGAAGAAAATGGAAATAACGAAACAAATTAACTCGAAATTTAATAAAGTTTTTTACGGAAAAAAACTATTTTCTTTTTACACATGTAACATTTGAAGAATGTGAATTTATAACTTGAAAATTTATTGATTAACCATAACAATATGAAATGGGAAAGTTGAATTCAACTATACTTAATTGATTATTCGTATCCACATCGGTTTTATTGTATAACAAATATAACTAATACTTAGCCTATGTATCATTCAGACATAAATTAAACACGTTTGGATCTGTTTAATATTTCAAATAGTACTATATAGCTGCGTCTAGACGCGTTTCATAAAAATTTCTGTGATCATTGGACTCAAATTCGTTTCATACTTAGATGATCTTTTGTAATGAAAGATCTCGAAATGTCTTACTGATGCAAAACGAAAGTTATAAGCCTGAAAAATATTTTCTCAGTTTCAATATATTTGAAAACTGTTATGGACAGAATGTGATCTATAAGAATTTTCTGTTTAATTGTATGCATTTAAATCGAAAATTGAGAAAAATAATACGAAACTTTTCACACATACTTTCATTAAGATATCTAGATCTTCTAGGAGCAACTTTTCTATATGAACATCATCACTTCTTATTATGGATATTGATGTCTTTTACAGTATAGAATCTGTTAGCTTTATCTGGATTTAAATACTTTTTGAATGAAAACTATCAGTTTATATAAAAAGAACGATGAAAGACGAGTTCATCTTAACATGATCAATTCATTATCCCGGATAAACATGGTAGAAGAGAATCTGTAATACTTATCTTATCAATGAATGGCTTTAAAAGTTTTTCATTTTTTTTCTTCTTACTTAACTATAAGAATTAGAAAATAAAGAATTTATTCATTTTATTATCTTTAGAGAAATATTCATCTATTGTTTTCCCTCCTGAAATGAACAAGATATTTAATATAGTTATCTTTAACTGTAATTATTTGTCTTAAAGGTTGACTCAGTTTTGAGAGAAGTATCAGTCTTTTCTATTTTATCAAGATTAAAAGGTTTTAGTTAATGGGAGATAGTGAAGAAAGAGTATCCGAAATTTTGATCTGCCTTCGTATTAACGAAATTGAAATAATTATTTTATATGATTGAATTATCTGACTTGTTTGATGATGCTCCTATTCTCAAAAGTTACACATTCCTGCACTGTCTTAGGAATCGGAATACCTAAAACGACTGATGCCGGTAACCATAAAAAGTTTCTGCATCTTATGATAAGATCAAGCGTAAATAATTTGCTTCCTGTTTACATGTTTATATGTCCTAGTCTTGTTCGTCGCATATATCAAAACTAATTTGTTAAGCCATAATATTTATTCTGTACTAGACTTCTTGGGTAGAGATGTCTATTGCAAAGTACCGATGATGATATAAGTCAAATCTACGAATACAAAATAATATTTTTAGAACAACAGAGAAGACAAACGCATCTAGATACAAAACATTTTTTGTAATATATTAACGACCTCACCATTCTTAATTATTAAATACGACATATACAGACGCTAAGACACAGTACACGTTTAACCCATTATATCAATTTTAATGATTGGTTCGAATGCTACTTCGTATTGTCTAGTGTGCGTTGTGCAGTGAAGCATGTATAGAAGGATATAAATTTAAGAGATACTGATAGAAACACTATTAAATAACAAGTATCCAGCGAATATGTTTTTTTCTTTATTAATCTCCTTTACCTTATCGTTCGTTAATAAAAGCGAACAATTTTGTTGACTATTTGTTTTCTTTTATTTTTATTCGATAAATCCATGAAGATTTAGGATCTTTAATTCCTAGCGAAGAAATCTGAAAATGTATTCAATTGAGACTTTAATGGAGTTTTTTTCCCTACTCTTCAATATTCAAACATATCTGAAATTCAATACCGTTGTTTTAGTCGTAAATGTTAGATATCGATCAATACAAAAAAAACAGTTCGAAATTGGATAAGCACCCATCTGCTATAACACATTCGAAGAATCAATCAAACAAGTAAAAACTATTATTTTATAATTTTCAAATGTATGGCATGAGTTTTTCTCGATTTATAACAGAAACTCTCTTCTTTTGAAAGTATGGCAATCATTTAATGTTTATCTTACCTTTTGTTTATTTACAATCGTTACGGTCATTGTCGGTATACTAACAGTTTATTATACTGCATCAAAAGGACAATGTGAGTTCACTCTGTTTATGAATAAAAAAAAATCTTTTAATCATAATTTCATCAACAACATCAAAATTTTCTTTCTGATTCTTAGCTTGGACATGTGAATCGATGTTTGAAACAATAAATCAAATACAAACGAATATGGATTCTAATCCAAATTTTGTGGTCATAGGTGATTTAAATCATGACAATAATTTGGATCTGATAGTAATCACAAGCGGATATAATGGAATAACTGTCTATCTTGGATATGGTAATGCATCTTTTGAAAAAAGCACAACATATTCAACAGGCTATCGTTCTTTACCAAAATCGATGACGATTGCTGATTTTAACAATGATCGAAATTTGGATGTTGCTGTAGCAAATTATGGTACAAATAATATTGGTATTTTTCTTGGATATGGAAATGGAAGTTTCATGCATCAGAAAACCTATACAGCAGGTTCATCTCGTCCACTTTCAATTGTTACCGGTGATATGAATAATGATGATCAATCGGACTTAATCGTTGCTAATTACGGTACACATAGTATAGGAGTATTTCTTGGATTTGGAGATGGATCATTCGGCAAACAAAGGCTTTTTTCAACGGATTATGATTCATTTCCACAATCAATCTGTATAGGTGATTTTAATGATGATCAGAATTTGGATATAGCTGTTGCCAATTATGGTACAGACAATGTCGGTATTTTTTTTGGTTATGGAAATGGATCATTTGAAAAACAAATGAGTTTTTCTACAAATGCTCAATCTCATCCATATTCACTTGCTGTTGGTGACTTTAATAATGATCATTACTTAGATATCGCTGTTGCTAATTATGGTACAAACAATATTGGATTACTTTTTGGATATGGAAATGGAACATTTTCAAAACAAAAAACATTTTCAACAGGCACAAATTCTGGTTCATTCTCTATTGTTACTATTGATTTGAATAATGATAATATATTGGATATCGTTATTAATAATTATAAACAAAATAGTATAAGTGTATTTCTTGGTGATATTAGTGGAAACTTTTCAAATCAAATGACATATCCAACTAAAACAGGACCATGTTCATTGGCACTTGCTGATTTTAATAACGATAATCGATTAGATCTTATTGTAGTTACAAATGGTACTGGGTTTTTAAACATATTTCTTGGATATTATCCTGTTGCTTTTCAAACGAAATATTTTTCTGTATCCTCACGACTGTTCAATCCAACTGTTGTAATTTCTGCTGATCTTAATAATGACAATAAATCTGATATTGTCATCGGTAATTCTCTAGAATTTGAAATACTTATCTATCTCGGATATGGTAACGGAACATTCGGACTGAAAGCGAAATATTTTGCAGGGATGGGATCTCTTTCTTATTCAATTGCTGTTGGTGATTTAAATCACGACAATTATCAAGATATTGTTGTTGCTAATTCTCTTGCGTCTAATATAGTCATATTTCTTGGATTTGGTGATGGAACATTTACAATCTCTAATAATTATACAACTGGCATTGGTTCAGTACCGTATTCTGTCGTACTTACTGATTTAAATAATGACAATCGATTAGATATTATTGTTTCCAATTCTAATCTTGATAACATAGGTATTTTCTTTGCTCTCGGGAACGGAACATTTGGAGATCAAAAGACATACTCCACTGGGAATGGCACTCGTCCACAAGCTGTAATTGTCGATGATTTTAATAATGATAATATACTAGATATTGTTGTTGCTAACTATGCTTCTAGCAGTTTGGGCATTTTCCTTGGTTTAGGAAATGGAACTTATCTAGCACAAAGAAAATATACAACTGGAATTAATCCAAATTCTATTGCATCTGGTTATTTTAATAATGATGCTTGGAAAGATATTGTCGTTGCTTGTCCCTATGATCGGATTGTTCAAATATTTTTTGGACAAAAGGATGGATCTTTTGTGAGTAAATCGATCTATGAAGTTCCACCATTAACGTACGATAAGCCGCAATATATTGTTACTGGAGACTTTAATAATGACAAAGCACTTGACGTAGCGTTTACTACTCTTGCTGGCCTTGTCTATGTAATTATTGGAAACAATAATGGATCTTTTCAACAGAATCCAAAACCGGTATCTAAAGTAAGCAAAGCGCCAACTACAATGCCGTTCACTACTGATGATTTCAATAATGATAATCTTTTGGATCTTGTTGTTGTAAGTTATTCTAGTTTTCAAATCGGTGTAGTTCTTTCACATGATTATGGATATTTTACTAATTATGAATTGTATTCAACTGGTTCGGCTACTTCGCCATTTTCCCTTCTTACAAATGATTTCAATAACGATACTTATTTGGATATTGCTGTAGCTAATTCCGGATCTGATAATATTGAAATTTTGTTTGGAGATGGTAATGTAACTTTCAGAAATAAGACAACTTATTCAACAGGATCTGGATCTCAACCACATTCAGTAATAACTGACGATTTTAACAATGATAAACAAATGGATATTGTTGTTGTCAATTCAGGCAGCGATAATATTTGCATTCTCTTCGGTTATGCTAATGGATCATTTGGTAATCAAAAGACATTTTCAACGGGTTCTTATTCTAATCCACAATCTACTGCTGCTGGTGATTTCAACTATGATAATTGGTTAGATTTAGTAGTTGCTAATAGTGGTACAGATAATATTGCACTTTTTCTTACGTATGATTCAGCACCTTTCTTGAACGAAAATATTTATACATCGATGTTTAATCTAACACCAAATTCAGTAGCTATGAGTGATTTTAATAAAGATAATCAACTCGATATTGTTACTGCGAATTATCAAGACAATATAGGAATATTTTTCGGCTATGGAAATGGAAGTTTTTCACATCCCGTAATCTATTCGACGGGTTTTGATTCAAATCCGCAATTTGTAGGTGTTGCAGATTTGAATAATGATAACCAAGTAGATATCATAGTGGCTAATACTTTTACCAATAATATTGGAATCTTTTTTGGATATAAAAATGGAACTTTTTCGAATCAAACAAGTTATTCGACTGATGAATGTATTGGTCCCTTTTCATTTGTTGTCAATGACTTTAATAATGATACTCGATTAGATATTAGTGTACTTACTTATACTACGGGTTGTATTTATACTTTCTTTGGAAATGGTGATGGAACATTTCCTACTTCGAATTATATATCAATTGATTCTCAATCAAAATCGATTTCTTCTGGAGATTTCAATAATGATCATTATTTAGATTTTGTTATTGCTAATTTTAATAAAGGGACCATTGATTTATATTTTGGATATGGTAATGGAACATTCACGAAAAGAGACAATGGCTATGATGTTAACGATAACCCACGTTACATCGCTGTTGGAGACTTAAATAACGATACTTGGCTAGACGTTGCCTTCGCTGCAGGTAGTTATATTACAAATCATGTAGGTATATTATTTGGATCTGCTTTTGGAAATCTATCTTCTCTACAGAGATATTATACTGGCTCAGACTCAGAAGTCTATTCTGTCATTATTGTTGACCTTAATAACGACAATCGACTAGATATAGTCTTTAGTACAGTTGGTAGAAGAAGCGTTACAGTCTGGCCACTTCCCTCTTTACTTGGATACAATAGTATAGGCATATTTGTTGGAAAAGGAGATGGAAGTTTTCTAGATCAAACGATGTACTCAACGGGTTCTTTTTCTGGTCCATTTTCAGCTGTTGTTGGAGATTTTAATAATGATAAACGACTAGATGTAGTAGTCACTGACTTTATACAGAAAAATATATGCATACTTTTCGGATATCAATATGTCACTTTCGAAGCGATGGCAACTTATTCAACTGGGGAGAATTCTACTCCACGATCTGTTACTGTTGCAAATCTTAATAATGATAAACTATTAGATATTGTTGTAGCAAATTCTGCTATTGATAACATCTGTTTATTTTATGGATATAGAAATGGATCATTTATCAAAGGTGAAGTCTATTCAACTGGTTCCAATTCAAAACCATATTCGGTAGCCATCGGTGATTTTAATGATGATAATCAATCAGATATTGTGGTTGCTAATTATAATTCAGACAATATCATGATTTTTGTTAGACAATTGGATGGAACATTTGTAGTTAGTGGCATCTATTCTACTGGTGATAGTTCAGCTCCATATTCGATCATTGTTGCCTATTTAAATGAAGATAAATGGTTGGATATTGCTGTTGCTAATTATGGTGCAAATTATGTTGTAGTTTTTCTTGGACAAGTCAACGGAACTTTCATTAATAAAAAATACAGTTTAGATTTTGGCTCACGTCCAACTTCTATCATCGTGGGTGATTTCAATCGTGATACATTGTTAGACATTGCTACTACTAACTATGGAACAAGCAGTATAGGATTTCTTATGCGAGTTTGTTGAAGACTATTCTTTTTTTTTAATTTGTCTATTTGGATGAGTAGTGTAGAAATCGTTAACTCGATTCGAGTATTAAACATCTTCTTCGAGTTTGAAGTTATAAGTTAGTTAAGGTTACATTTGAAATCTTTGCAGGCAGATGCTGCTGCAGGACGGTTTCGCGGCGGATGAGCGAGAGACTTCGTGTTGTTTCTGCGTGCTGTAGCCTACACCACCCACTGTGCCATCGTCGCTTAGTTTCGTAGCTTAGAATATCCTTTCGTACGTCGCACTTTTTTGTATTTCCTGGAGCGCCATGCCGTATGCGCTCGGCTTGCTCTGTAGTCTATGGTACTTCGTCGCCGTGTCACTCGGCTGCGTCGCCGGGAATGTTCTCCGCTCACTGTTACGTGTACGCTGGAACACCCTCACCCTATTCCACGACCCAAAAGCAATGCACGAGCATCGATCAATCAAAATTTTAAAACTCGAATAGTTGAAAGTTTAATGCTCGAACTTTGTTTTCGAGCTATACATGTATGCTAATCTTCGCCCCCACCAACTCTTCTCTGGGTTTTTTCCTCTTTTATATTAAATCTTTGTCCAATAAACGGCAATCTTCACATAAGTGTATGTTATTCTCCAACATGACCTCGTTAGTAAGAAAGGAAAGAAATATATATATGTATACGATATCAGAAAGAGAGAGACGAGAACACGTGGTGCGATTATTTGCTGACATATATGTGCATTTCTTGGTAGAAACAGAATGGGATCAGACGCAAATAACGATTCGTTCTATCTGCCCGACAAATGGCGTCCGTTTTTTAGTCGCAACGATGTGAATCTGGAATCGTATCAATTACTATGGACAGACATCAAACTTTCCGAGCTTGAAGATGAAGAAGAGATCTTCTCTACTCTTACAAACTTTCGTCAACTTGTTAATTATACAAAAGCGTTTGATAGTTGGAGAATCTGCTTGAAATACATTGAAGAACACTAAAGTACTTTTACATTTCTCGTCTGTTCGGCTCTTTACGCAAACGATATTATTCCTAAATTATGGCCATTGAGGACGACCAATGTCTGGAAAGTGTATATCTATTATAAAAATGAAAGATTTGATATAAAAAAACTTGACTTCATCGACAAAGACCGGGTCAGTAGTCGAAAAAATTCTTACTTGAAATTGTAAGTTTTCAATCTATTTTTTCAGAAAACTTGTTCTGTACATACTGAACTTTGCAATCTTCTGGACAAGATAAAGACCGATATCCGCGAATATTTCCAACACGAAAAAGCTGGTATATTTAGCGTTCTCAATCCTGCACTTCAAGTCAGTATCAACGATGAATTTGAGTTGTAGTGGTATAATATCATCAAAGTATTAATTAGTTTACCGTATCCTGAAAATTATCATCATCGACTAGTGATGGAATTTAAGAAACATGGTTTTAAAGATGAAATTATCGATCAATTCATGGAAGACTTTCCTTCTAAAAGGAATGCTGCTTGGTGGTATTCTCGATCCGTTACATTCTACGACATTCTGAATCGAGCGTTCCGACAGCGAAACATCAGAGTACTTCTGTTATTCGGATCTTTTCTTCAAAACTTACATCATAAACTAAGGGAACGACAACAACAACTATCAGGCACCGCCAAGCCTGTTGTCACAGTCCATCGTGGTCAAGTTTTATCTTACAGAGATCTCGAAAAATTAATAGTTGGCTGTTCGGTTCGAAGTAACGCTTTCTTCTCTACGTCAGCTGCTCGCCTCACAGCTAATAAATTTCTAGCGACTACGGCAGATGCGGAAGATCTCCGTCGTGTGATATTTTCAATCGAAATAGATTATCGAGATCAAACCGCAGTCTTTGCAAACATTGCAAAATTTAGTTACTATCCCAGAGAAAAAGAAACTTTATTTATGGCGAACACAAGATTTGTTATTCACAGTCGACAAGAGAAAGATGCTTCACGTGACTCACCATCGTGCTGGTTAATAGAGCTAAAACTGCAGTCAGACAGCGATATACTACGAGACAGACAATTGGAAACTGAATCAAAAAGGAAAACTGTGAAGAATTGCTTGAACGCACTCAGCGATATGTCAGAGATGATTGCTTCATTCGAAGATGCCGTCGTCTTTGATATTCTAATGGAAATTTATCCAGAAGAAGCCAAATGGATTCAGGCTATGAAATTTTACGCTCTTGCTGAACTCGAAGCTCAGTGTTGCGATGATCCAAGAAACAAGAAATACGATTACTCATCAGCACTCTCCTATTATGAGCAGGCTCTCGCAATTTGGAGAGAGCAACTTGACAATGACGATGATCTGAACTGTTCATTTGATATTGCTGAAAATTACTTTGCTATAGCACAACTCTACGAATGCGGACCACCAGATTTATCTAATCTTTCAATTGGTTATTTAGTGGACGCCGTCAGCTCCTATGAACTCGCTCTGGAGAAATGCTCTACAAAGGATTACGAAGCAATAGAAATTGTGTTTAAACTATGTGGCATTTGTCGAGATTTAGCCAAAATTGATTCGGAAAAATATGGTTTAAAGTCAATCGCATATCAACAACGTTGGATAGAATTATTAACACAGCGCACAATTCCACCGAAACCAAAAAGTTTGGCAGGACACTATGAAGATTTGGCAGAAAGATACGCAACAATTCAGCATTACGATGATGTACTGATTCATTATAAAAGAGCGCTCGAAGTTTATTTATCGAACAGTGTCGAAGAAGATTTGTTCCAACGTATGATAGATGTTTACAAAAAGATTGCCATCGTATATACACATCACAAAGATGATTTCCATTCGGCCTTACACTATGAATTACTGCGACATACATGTTATTTGAAGCATCTTATGAAATCTGAAATTCCTTTAAACGGATTTTATCTGGGTTCTCTAGCAGACAGTCATTCTTCTGTTGCTGATTGTTACTTAAATACATGGCAGTATATTCCAGCTTACAAGCATCTGCTCAAAGCGTTGGTATTTAGTGAAGAAAGAAAAGATTTCGTACTCAAAGAAGGTCGGCTAGTATTTCGAGAAGGTCGCTTGATTTATGCATCCGACGGACAACCATTACGAGAACCTTGTCAACCTGACGATAAGAAACTAGAAGACTGTGACTCCAAACTCAGGGAGCTAGAAGAGAAGCTTAAAAATGTAGAAAAAATGTTGGAAAACGAATATCAATTTTAAATAAAGTTTAACATTTCATTCTACTCATTTGATTATATACGCGATGATGAAAAGATACTTACGTGTACCAACTCATCTTGGGGGTGTAGTTTTGCTGTGCTACGTATGTGGAAAAACGATTAAAGAAAATATCGGAATCGACGGAGCTTAGGTTAGAAATTTACAATGATTTGTGTACATTTGAGGTGTACGACAGCCTACCAATAAGGATTACTACTAAACAAACTGCGTTTATTGACTTGTATCAGCGCAAAAACAACGATCAATTGATCAAAACAAACTATCTGATTGATACTACTTAAAAAATGAGGATTTGCTCTCGTGCTATCAGCAATTTACATTAACATGTATCACTCCGACGGAGAAAATAATATATCCTCATAGTAGCCATTCCCTACTCGCCAAAACTCTCTGTTCTTTTGTTTAATGGCTCCATATATTTAAGAAAAATGGAATTTTCTGTCAAGTTGAACGCGAAACAGCAGACGGCTAGAGTTGCAACCGCCTTTTTCTAGTGTTCAAAGCACAAGCACTCAGAAGAGGGTGAATGTTTCTATGATACACAGCACAACCTTTTTGAATCTAGTTTTTGAAACATTTTTACTCCATCTTTTCCTTATGGTGTATGCAATTTCGCATAGATTTGGATAACAATTTGTTTTAGTAAAAAAGCTTCACACGTTAGGACCGTTCTGTTTGCCTCTATGGGACGATCCGTTTAATGAGAGAATAGTTCCAAGTTAAATTCTTTATCGGGATGCTGCTTCGTTCGACAGAGGAGCAGCTCAAAAAATATCAAGAATGCTTTTCATATTCCATCGAATATTACTCGTTCCAGACGTTTACTTCGTGCAGTCGCAAGTGTGCTGTAGCTGATATGTACTCCACAAACACTTCTAACTTTCACTACAGATCTTGCATCGTGGTCTCAATATCCGGAAGAAGAACTTGTCACGCCTACTGTGTGTTTCAAGATTGAGAAAATTGGTTTTGAAAATGAATGACATCGTTTCGTTAAGAAGTGCAGGTGGTTCTCGTTTAACAATGCAGATATTCTAAACAACTTTAGTTTCGAGACTTGAGAATTGAAACAAAGATGAACAGGAAAACTATACTGCATGATGTTTCATCATTTTTCTGACTTTTAGCACATCCCGATACACATAAGAAATATGACGATAATTTTCTCTCTTTAGCAAAGATTGAAACGTGTCGTCGTTTGCTAGACTCATTATCAAGGAGAATAAAAAATATGTTAGAGCGATATTTTTCGTGTGAGTTTAAGTTTTTCTCGTTCCCACTTTGGTATTGCCAGTGTTTACGGCCGTTTTGAAAATCTTCTTTCGTGTATGTTCGTGAAGGTAGAACATACAGAATGAAACCAAGCACTTGTGGCATATAAGTCAGAAGAATGGCAGTTAAAAGTGTGTGCCGTTTCCAACCGGACAATTGTGTGCAAGCTAAACTGAATGTAAGAATTGTTTGTGGGAGTGCAGAAAAAATGATAACCGTTGGAGTAACAAACAGTTCCTTCTGAGGAGATAATTGCTTTGTAAATACTTGTCGAAATGTGTTCTGACCTGTAGTCATTGTTCTACTTCGACTACGTGCAGTAAGAATGAGAAGCAAGATAGTACAAGTGACTTGAATAGCAAATGGCATTATATAATGGATAAGAGTACTGACTCGATTGTAAACTTCAACAATAGGATAATAAAAATTAGCAACACAAATCGATACAGAAGAGTTCATTTCTTGAATTGTTTGATAAAATAAAATCTCATGAATGTGCTTAAACTTAAATAGACGCTCAATCGTGGATTTTTGAATGTAGAAGATGTTGGATATAAAATAGTTAACAACCGATTGATAGTAATCCAACTTGTTAACCAATATGTTGATCTTGTACAAGTAGAAAGCAAATAAACTTCAACATGATAATCAATAAACTGCATTCATTCAGAATTGTGACAAATAAAAGATAGTATCCTATGCCAACAATACGAGGTTGTTTGCGCTTGAATGTCACAAATGAACAATAATTATTGATCGAGCCGAGAAAGAAGATGATCGCCGTGATACTTATATAAACATAGTGAACTAGTTCAGTGTCAAAAACAAGTAGCGAATCAAAGGTGAAACCGAATGCTCGTAAGCTAAATTCACATCGACTACCTTGCGTACAATGAGGACATATACATATAAAATCAGTTGATTGTTTCTTGTTATCTCCAACGCAACGGCCACCAGCAAAACATCATGTACAAAGCAAAATGCCATGTTATCTTTGTTACAGAGACAAAAATAGTCGGTGCCATGAAAGCATAGGCGTTGAGAATCGTTTTTGCAAATCTGATGATATCTGAAGACGTCAGGTCTAGTATTTGTTTTGTCTATAAACAAACATGTTCGTAAAGTGTGTGAATGATTTAGAAAAGAATATATTACTTTGTTACAGTCTGCTTTATAGGTTGATTAGATGGTTGCATATAGGGTAAAAAATATTTTGCATCGGATAATTTTTGATAGATTTTCAAGACTCCTAGGCCGGGTGCATCCTGCTGGTCATGATTATAATGAATTATGTTCGGCACACCATGCATTATTTGTTGATGAAATAAGTATAATGCGTTGAGTCGCATAACTTTGCCGTAAAATTGTACGCTACTGGCCGTTGCTGCTGCTGTCATATTGATTCGAATTTGAATTTGAAGTTTTTCATATTGGCATTGATCTCCATAAAATTGATTGGCACATTTACAAATAAAAGGTTTTTCTCCACTAGGGTCATACGACGGATAACAAGTTGAATTTAGTCCGCACGGATTAGTCTTACAAGCCTCATTTTTCAAGTAGCAACGAGGACCAAAATGTCCTAATGGACAAATACAAAGAGGGTAGTTAGCATTATCAATAATACCGCGGAATGTCGGCCGACAGATTGATTTTGAATTGCATGTGTTGTTTGCACATGGATCATGTGTGACATTCTGGAACCAGGATGGAAATTTCAGAATAGTCGCCAGGCGAAAAACTGGAAGGAAATCAAAGTAGATTGGATAATGAAAAGAACCGTGCTCGCGTTCAATTGATTCTTTGTCAATGAATAAATGTCGAAACGAACGGAATAGGGATGATGATTGATTATATCTGCTCGATTAGAATATCGCTGTTGTTTATGCTTCATAAACTTATTCGATCGAGAATAGATTAGGTGAAATCGATGTCTATTAGGATTTCCCATTTCCAAGGAAGGATTAACATGGAAAAGATGGTGATCAATGACAGTGCTTGAAAAGTCGAAATAAACGGCTACGGTCAGTAAATTTGATTGCAGTGATGGTGGAAGAGTATTTAAATCCAAATGAGTAATGATTGAAATACAATCAGCGAAATATTCACAGTAAGTTCCGTAATATGTTGGCGGACAAGCACACCTATAATAGTTTTCACTAGGGATATACAATGGAAAACCTTGATTACACGAGTATACGAATTGTGGTGAACTGCTCAGTGATGATGTTTTCGCTTGTATTCGTTCTGAATGAGTCTGTTTAGATGTTAATGTATGCTGGTTTTTTCTTATACCAAGAGGCGTTTTTTGTGGACAAAATGGTATATTAGGATCACGATTTATTTGATTTCGAGTTATGTATTTCGAACTTCGATACATAACATTATCATAATAGGAATGAGATACGGTACACCAATGTTCATCTTCTCCATAAGGACACTGGTATGTACCGTCACAACGAGCATTTTCGACACAGCTTCCGTTTAAACAAATGAAATCTTGCGCTTTACCACACCAGGAGGAATTTGCACCTCGGGAAGTACAGAGTAAGGACGCACTGCACGCCCGGTTACTTGCACATCTGTGAACGTTATCATCACATCCTTTTTCGCAGCGTAATGTAAATCCAAGCATATTTCCTGCGCAATCCTCCAACGTATTCTTTTCATCAAGACCTTCATAACAATCGATGATACCATCTCCAATTTGAGTTACATTGATACACGGACTATACACGGTAATATTTAGTGGGTTAGGCACTGATGCACGATAGCATGGATATTCAGAGTCAAAATCACAGAAATCTCGAAATGGTAATGTTTTGTAATTTTCTTGACATATTTTTTTTTTCGATCATTTAAATAACTTGATATATGCTCATTGTGACCAGTCCATTTTTCCGGCAATCCAAATTCGTCACTAGCATCCGAACAATCCCATTCTCTATCACAAACCCAGTCTTTCGATATACACTGTCCAGTTCGACACCGAAATTGTTCTTTAAGACAAAGCCATTCCTGACAAGAATCGCGATCTTCATCATTCGTATCAACAAGCGTCGAAATGGGAACCACCGAATTGCTAATGTGGTGGCTCGGCAATCTTTGTAATTGGTAAACAGGTTAGCTGCTCTTTTGAGCACTGAAAACGATGTTTTTGAATGTTTTGACAGTAAATGACATTTGTTAACATATATTTAATTTCTTCTACATGATCTTGGCAATCCCACCTTCCGTCCGCAATTCGATATTGTTTTGGAATTATGCCACATATGTTTTTATCTAGGTGAGAGCTCGAATAGTCTTGCAGCCAAATTCTGACATGCTCTTGATGTTTTATATCTAATGCAAATCCTCGACATCGAATACTACCGCTTAATATAAATGTATTTGGCGCTTTCTCGCCCCATTTTCGTTCTAAATAGTATACTTGTACAAAACCATGGACGGATAATAGATGGTTGTGGATAAGGAAACCAGCCTTCAAATCCACAAAATTGTTTAATTACTTTATCACAATTTGTTCCGTTGCATGGACATCTGATTTCAGCACCTTTGGAAAATGCACATCGAATCAAGAATACACATACATTTATATTAGAAGAAAAGCTCAAAGAAGTATCAGTGTAGCCAAATGGCACGCAAAGACCATCTGGCTTTGACCATAACAAAACCTTCGTATCTAATTCACACATATGATTGCATTCTCGCATATTGAAACAACCTTCTGTTCTGGAAACTGCTGTTTGATATATGTATCGATTGAAGTGCAAAATGCATTCACCATCTCCACACGACCAAGTACCTGCAGGACACTTTAGATCATCACAAAAGACAGCTAATGGTCTTGTCACACAGTCCCCTAGATAGCGCCAGTGGTTAGGTAGCATCCTAATGACTTTTAAATTGACTTATGTCATCATGGATGTGACCACTACTGTGTCCAACTGTGTTCCAAAATGTCTACAAATCTACTCCGGCTCTATATCCGATTCCGAAATTAAATCTTTATTCTTCTCGAAGACCTTCTTGTCCTAAGTTATCTCATGCTCTCGATTTGGACTTCATCCAAAAGTTAAGTATGCTGCAAAGGTGTATCAGACGGAAGACATAAACAGTCGTGAGACATGTGACCCTAGTAAAATATGTTCACACCCTCAAGATGATCCAACATACCATCAATCCAATATTCTTCTGCAATACACATGCCATCTGTACATCGATACTCATCGGCTTCACATTCATTAAATTCTAATAAATCGCAATTATCTTCATCAATGCCATTCAGGCAATTCTGTTGACCATCACAAATATTTCTCCAATCAAGACATAACTTTCCATAATTACATGGTATAGTCAGATAACATACAATTTTACCCCAGTTTTGACGTTCTTGTGAATTTGTGTGCGCATGAAACAGTGTTTTCAAAGCCTTACTAAATAATGACGAATCAAACAGCAGAGTATATTCGCACCATCTTCCAAAAAACCCTTCGGTGCAATTGCATAAAAACGAATCTTCTTCGAATATCTCGGAACGATTGTAAAAAACACGAGCATAATCAGCCGCCTTCTCTACACTTGAACTCCAGGACAGTATATCCCATGGTGATATTTCGTTCTTTAATAGTTCATCGAAACTCCATCGGTGCCCATTCCAGCAGATAGTCGCATCTCTAGAGAGAGACACAAGTGAAGCCCATCGCACGCAGTACTTAACTGTCGGATATCGTACATAGAAGATGCAGTCAAACTCTTCTGTCTGATTCCTGCTTTGCGTATTATAGAGAAGTACGGAACTTTCATATTGATCAAGTCTCGCGAGAAATATTAAAAAAATACTGATAATTTCGTACAATCGGTATTCTTCAGCTATGATCATTCTCATCGTGTTGGATTAAGAAAATCCTTCATGATGTTTTCATTATTCTATCGATATAAGATTTATGAATTGTTAATTGTCAGGCATGTTCATCATTAGAAATTGTTTAGCGTATGTTATAAGTATTTATTTTAAAACTTTCCTCACGTGTTGATCTCTATTGCATTATTGACGATCAAAAAAATTATATACTAGTCAAATATTGAACTGAATATCCAAAAATCATGTTTCAATTTAGTCACCGTCAAAAAATGCATCTCTATATAGATAATCACGTACACAATATAGAAAGAATATCAGTTGACAGCTTAAACGTCACATAGTTTGAGCAAGGGAAAATGGTCAATTTCTATACTCAATGTAAATTCGTAAAAAAATAATATCGCACTGTAAAATATAATTTAATTGTCATTCGCTCGTGTTCCTTTCTTCTGTGATACACAAACTTCACTTAATAATCGACAAGCACATTTTCAACATCGTGCACTCATCTTGAACAGATCGAGATCGCACAGATTCCAAAACGTTGAAACAATCTATATTACATTAAATGAAAAATGATGCGCATCTTCTTCAGGATGAACATTGTTTCTTTATTACATTTATCCTCGAATCATCACCAGTTTATTGAGTGCAAAATAGTCTTAACTTCGAATTGAGGGGGCACGTTTGAAGGACCACATAATCTTAAAATACCATTATCAATAGGAATCCAATCTCTTTCCGCTTTAACTAAAATTCCTGGTTGATTACGATTATAATATTCATAAGTAACATCAGCACCTTTTCCTGATGTCCGCAAAACAGCCATTCGTCTCTCATGTACTGCTTTATCATCAAGCGCTTGATTTTATTGCGTCAGATCTGCAACATGTGCCTGTAGATCGTTCGTTCTGTCTACATCCATGGAACCACTCTGAACATGTACTTTCGCTACACATTGTAGAACAGGATTCATCAACTTTGTACGTAATTGTTCACGTTCTTGTGATTTACTAGCATCAATATGATCCAATAAACAAATCTTAACATTGGGGATGTTGCAATAACCTTGTAACTTAATATTTATTTCGTTTTCATATCCAACAGAGCGGCCTTTGGCTAGATCCTTAACAGCTACCAGTATAAAGATTGTTGTTCCCTTTTCTGAAAGAAAGGGTTATAGCGTTCTAAAATCGGTGGCTCAAAACCTAAAAGTTTGTGAGTTTGTCCAATCCAATCAAGTTGCAGCTTTTTATAAACCAATGAAACCTTAGAGATAAGCATACGGAAATGATTCATCTGAGGTAATCAAGGTCGAGAATCACGAATCCGAGGTTAGTGTTGATTAATTAATTATTAGTTTTTCATTAACTAGCGACGACTTATTAACATCCATTGTCAGAGTAGACCGAAAGGTTTCTGACGTGGGGAAATTCGAATTTGAGGGTGAATTGCGTTTTATTCGCTGAGCCTGGGCTTGTTCGTGCCTCTTTACAAAGGAGGTATTTTTCTTTACCTGTTCTAAAATCTTTTGTAGAAGATGGTGAGCTGAACGCTGTTCACGGACGTCATGCGTACAAAGATAGTAGCTCAAGAACTTACACAAAAAGATCTAATGCATTGTACATAATGATGTTTCTAATTCAAGAAATCCTAAAAAGTGATATGAGCTTGGTGTCATCTTTGCTTTGTAGGCTACATACATCATGTCTTTTTATGGGAATTTAGTAGTAGTTCACAAAGTGATATACCCGTCAGTGGAATTCCATCTTAGTAATTACAGACGCGTGGACTGTAGAAACAGTATTCTGAACACATGCAGCGCTATGAAAGATGTTCGTTTCGAAGCAAATCATACAATAAGACTTATTCTTATCTAGTTGCTTTTGGTAGTCGAATGAATAGAAGATCATGACTGTAGAAGCGACAATGAAAGAAAACCCAATCGTTCAGTTTGAAAGTCGATCGAAGGCGAAAGGAACAACAGAGACAGCATGGCAACGGCTAGCCGTGAGTGACCGACCGGAGGGAGGTCGAAGAACGACTAGGCGTTTAAATGCTAGATTAATCCTAAAGTGTGCGCTTAGAATATCCTTGCCAGACTTCAGATAATTTTGAAAGTGATTTGACGAATGGATATTCCTCGATGAAAATATTCGACAAGGTATCATTTCGTTGACAGGAGAGAAAAGAATCGGATTATCGCTGGAAGACACAAGCGACTGTTCAAACTCTTCAAGTAGTCTACTGTATATCGTGCGTCTACGAGCGGCTTAGTAAAGCATTTATGAAAATTTCCATACGCGTGATGTGAAAGTAGAAAAACAGATGACAAAGGTCAATGGTGGGCCGTGAGTGGCCGACTGACTAGCTGTTGAGCGATGAATTTTTCGGTCAACATAGTTAGCGCTGGAGAATTGTCCACTGACAAATGGCTAATCGGTCTGATTCCTAAAAAGCCTTTCGCATCCTATTCATTCTAGTGTGTGACATAGTGCCATGATTCAGTTGAGCACTACTAGCAATCGCAGTGCGTTTTTTTCTCTTTCGAAGTCTCTGAATGTGTTCAGCATTCGGAAAAGTCTTTCAGAAAAGGGTCAGCGAATCCAACGGATGAGCGTTACTTGCTAATAATGGGTTTTTCTTTATTGAGTAACTCATCACATGAGAAAATATGACATTATCACGATCATCATAATCCAAACTAGTTTTTTGAAATATTGCTTTCTTCATTTGCTTCGCTTATAACGAAAACAAAACATCGTTGTCCTGGTAAATGACTTTTATTTGAACAGGAATCGGTGTCTTTCAACAGCATGTTTCGAAAATAAGAAAGAGGGAGATAAGTTTATTGGTTCTTTCTCTACATCAATACGTTTTTTCTTTTTTGAAGCCTAGCAGACGCTTTATTCTGTAATCTTCGTACTACTACTTGAAGCAGATATAACAGTTTTTAAATTTATTTTGAAAGAATATACTGATTATAAGAATAAATGAATAAGCTTTCATCAAATACGTGAGAGACAACACCATTTGTTACCACATGATAACGTTCCAGCATTTCTTTCATGAGCAAGACATAATGTACGACATTGACCATTAGCTCTTCGTCCAAACTCTCGTGACCATGCGCTACATGAGCCTTCCACGCCTACAAGACATATTCATCACAGAATGTCACATAATTTACTTCTTTCTTTCTTATACGTATGTTAATATTTTACCAGTATTGAAAAGCAATATTAGACAAAATAAAGCAACAGCAACGAATAAACTTCGAGCAAAAGCCATCGTTAAATAGAATACCAATGAAGTTTTCTTTCTGCGCGTTGATTTATATACACATATAAGATGCACTGATAGTTTATTTCGTTATTGAAAAAAAAGTAACTTATATGAAGTATAGTATTTATGTAAATCAGCATTCTTCACTTGACAGTATGCAATTATTTCAATCAGATGTATTCATAAATAAAAACGTAATTCTTTTAGTATTGATAAAAAAATGACTAAATAAACTTGAGTGAAAGTTAGAATGCATGATTAATGTGAATATGAATTCGAAAAGGTCAATTCTTAATGACTAGAACAGTTGATGAAAATGATACATTGAATGCTGATGGTGGTAAATCAATTAAACTGCTTAAATTCATTGAATACTTTCACACACACCCACTCTTGATTCAAAATAATCTTTGACTGTTGAGTTTTTGTTTCTTATAGTCCATCGAGTTTGTTTTTATATTGAGAAATACTAAAACAAGAGCTTTCGAGATATTAAATCTCATCTTCAGTTGATGATGGTATTGATGTTGATGTTGATTTAGCTATTGAATTGAATACCTTCATTGAAAATGATAACAAATAACAAATGAAAGAAACGATTAATTTGACCTGTATGACTATATGAATTGAAATCGAAATAATAAAAATTAATGAAAACAGAATCAAGATCAAGATCAATATCACCATCAACTGAAGATGAGATTTAATATCTCGAAAGCTCTTGTTTTAGTATTTCTCAATATAAAAACAAACTCGATTGACTATAAGAAACAACAACTTTAGTTAATTATCTTGAAAAATCCTGTTTTCATTAATTTTTATCATTTCGACTGTTGATCTATTTAGAATAAAATCATAAAACGAGAAAGTTCTTAATGACATTTATTTTTCTTTCTTTTTTATCGGAAGTTACTAAATGCGTTTGTTTCTCTATTATATACTATGTCGTGAATTTGGAACATCCAAGAAATACCATCGAATTTTTACACTTCTAATTCTTCAAAGATGTTTCCATTGATTTGAATAAACTTGTTTTTAAACTAATTCTCGTTCTGTGATGAATTTATGAATGATTTTTCGTAAAAGTGAATTTACTTTTTGTTAATTTATTCAAATTAGATGAACAGATGAGATCTACGTATTTAATTATTTTACCAGAGAGAATTAAATCTAAATATGTTCATGGGTTTTTTAATGCGACATCCTCTTTTTTTTCTTCCATTTAACCGTGATTTCTCTCTACAATTAGCAGTCATTATTAATGATAAACGAAAAAGCCTGATTATTCATCTATTGATTAATATTGGACGATGAAGCTGAAAGGATTAGCAATATGGATTTATCGAAAAGGATTGAATTATAATCTTTTCATGTTAGAGAATCATGAGTATGACGATGATGAAGCTGAAGATAATATTCGCAATCCAGCAATTATTCTTAAACATCAAAAATATAAAACATGGTTGTATGTTACTCTTCTTACAGGTAATTTAGTTTGTAATATTACTGTACTCAAGAAATGAATTAGAAGACGCGCTATGAAAATTTGTATGTTTGACAACAAGTTAATTTAATTAAAAGCTCCGTAAACTACAGTTTACACTACATTGTAATCGATTTCAAAGTCTTAAAAAAGTATGCGTGAATGAGATCTGATTAGATTGAAAGCACCAATTGCGAAAGCGTAAGGTCAGCAGACTTGTAAGTTATTGAGCTTTTCACAGCGCTTCTTCTAGTTTATTTTGATTTTCTCACCTCATATCAAATGGGAAGATAAATTTTAAAATTTTCTTTAGATAAAGGAAAACGAGTGGGCCGTAATAAACGCGACCTAATGTTAATGCATTTTTATCTTTAAATTCTCTGCAGATAAAAAGTTTGTTCTTGTTCGCTCGAGATTAAACTGATAAACATTTATTTGACATCTCACAAAACCCGTCATAGAATTCTCTGTTTCTATGCTCACATTTCAAAATTTTTGAAAAATACGATAACACTAAAAAAGATCCGTTTTTTTAATAGACTCATACTATTGCTTTTCCTTCATTNGAGAAAGTACTTTGAATTCTTCAGAATAAAGTTTATTGCTCTAGTTTACGTATTCAACAATTACGATTGATTGCAAAACATGTGAGAACGAAGTATACGGTACTTTTTTCGAAAAATGAAATTGCGTTCATAAAATGGAACTACAAAAGCTGTATAACTGAGTAGAATACTACTTGTCGGTATCTTCCGAGAAGAAACTAACGACACGATGAATAAGTACATCCAGGAGAAAAAAATGAAAAACAACTTCAATATATGTAGAAATGAAAAAGTTATGAGTGAATTGACATAGGATTTGTTTACAAAAGGAAAGCAAACGTATGTTCAACACATCAATACTTATTGAAAAAGAACAAATAAAAACAATTTGATTAAACACATGAGGGTGTGGAAAGAACAGAACGATCTGACAACATGTGAGATAATACAGCAAGTAAACAAAATGTTCACGCAACGTATTAATGAAAACACACGAAACAAAGAATAAAGATCGTTCACCAAGAGAAAAAAAGCACACCCTTTTGATGTGAGAACAAACGATTAAAGACTCTAATCCTCACGAACTTTTGGTTTTCGTTTTCGTTTCATTGGCATATCTGTTCCACATATATTCATAGTTTCATCTTGTAATTCTTCAACCCTTTTGCGTTTGTTTGTTAATGATCGTTCGAGTTTTTGTTTTTGTTGTTGCTGAAATTGATCAACCTCTGTGAGTAAAATCAACAAATGATTATCAAATCTCAAATTAGATCATAATTATTTAATACTCACGATAATTGGATGTGGTTTGAACTAATTCGCTCGCGGTGTAAACAAATCGTTCACTGATTTCAATATTCTCTTTAAACCACTCGTCATCGTTTATGTGTTTTTGTAACACATCACTAAACAAATAAGATTGATTGGTCGTCTTTCCATCGATCAGATGTTTGTTGTTTCGATTTGGATTCAATGAAAGTTTATATTCTTGAATATCAATACCAAAATCGACTAAATTGACTGCCACTTGAAGATCAACTGGACTGCCTTTGAGATATCCACTAATAAAGGCATCTTTTGCATCACGAAACCAATCGCCTTTAATCAGTATATTTTTCACTGTAAGACAATCGATTATCTTTAATCTAGACTGTTCGTCAAAAAGCCTTGCAGGAATCATTTTAAACAAATCGGTCGAGGTGCCCACAATAAC